CACGCAGCAGCTGCCCCAGGAGCAGCATTGCAGCACCGCCCTCGCCCGTTGCATACTGCAGCCTCACATTTCCCTGCCGCAACAACGATCCCCTCAACACAGTCACCCCAGAACATGCAAATACTAGAAAATGTAAATTCAATCTACGCTGAACCTTCTCCATTCTGAGCAATTTAGCCGCTGGAAGGAAGTAGCACACAACCAGCCGCGTGTAGCAGTAAGCGGCATGTTGCACTGATGTTTTTCGACATTTATTAAAATTTATGCATTGTGCGTTTGTTTATCAGAGCTGTTGATACAACGGGCACACCGGAATGCTGTGGGTGTAAGGGCGGCTTGCCGCCACTCCTCGCTGTTCGGCTCGTGTGCTGCTGTTCTCAATATGGTGAGTGTTGTTTAGCATGGAGTGGGTCTTCCAAGTAAACTGAACTCCATGATAACTTAGGACCAGCAAGAGCCGGAGTACATTTTCAGTCTACACGATGCTGCGTAGCCCTCCTGTACGCAGTGTACAACTGCGAGCTGCGCTCAGAAGGCAAGAAAGTCTCTGGGTCGGTCAATTTGAATTGTTACTGTAAGGGGAGTTCTTGGCCTAGGACAGTCGTGGAATTGAATAAATCAACAATTCAGTCGAATAGCTCCCTCAAGGGCACTTGAACGTTCTCTGTGTAGCACTGTCTGGGAGAGGGCGGTCTGTACATTACTCGTGGCAGGCTGGCCACTCAGGGCCAAGTAAGTGCTCAATAATTGCTCATAGTGTTGGCACACGCAGCGATATGGCTTGCTTGTGCGTGCATTTGGAGTTAGGTTGCAGCACGGGTTGCAGCACAGTGCACTGCAACTTGTCTCCGGCCGTCTCCTCTCCAGCGGCCCCAGGCCCATGGACCGCCTGTTCCAAGCCGCCCGGTGGTTGGAGAGGGCTTTTCTTCTTTTTGGAAACGTTTATATAAAGTATTTTGTCTTCATTTCAGCTAGTACGGTCTTCCGGTGAGACCGAGGACACTCGTTACACTTCTTGTAGCATGGTCCCTGTGAGAAACTCCGCTTCAGAAGGGGCAGTCTAAGGGGAGTTTGGGGCCTTAGGGATCATATGGCTCTCGGAACTTGCTTCCATTCAAGCCAGTAGATGCACCAGTCTCTTCCAGCAGCTGTGTGTCTTGCGCCCCCAACGAGAACACAAACGCATATGAAAAACATAATTGTGAGGCCTGGTAGGGATCCAAGTTCCTTCACACGATGGGGTGATGCGAATCCATAAGGGTATAGGGTTTAGGGTTTAGGGTTTTAGGGTTTAGGGTTTAGGGTTTAGGGTTTAGGGGTTTAGGGTTTAGGGNGGGTTTAGGGTTTAGGGTTTTAGGGTTTAGGGTTTAGGGTTTAGGGTTTAGGGGTTTAGGGTTTAGGGTTACACTAGAGGTACTGCGGGCCCTGTAAGCTGATAGGATGTGGGGAGAGCTCTTTAGTCTAAATATTTGCAGTTAACTTTACGTATTACTAGGTTGTATCTCTGAAGGATTCTTTGGGGCGCATCCATAGAACCCCATAGCTGAGCGTAGCGTGCTAGCAGGCAATGACTATCATACTGAAACAACAACATAACAAACTAACAAAGATTAAAGGAAATTACTGCTTACTCAGTTTCTTCTCCAAAATTGTTCTCATCTGCAACCCCACTAGAGGAGGCACTGCGGCCTTTCGTGCTGGGAGAGGAGACGGCGTAGCATGTTGTAATACCTTTTGCACCAAGGCTCATGCGAGCCGCTCCTAGAGTCATACCAATGGCCACTTCATAAAGAATGTTTAATGCACTCATCAATGTAATACTCAATGTACACGAATAAGCACTCACAGACACTTCCACTGTTCATACAACCCTCACTCATTTCACAACGAGCACGGCACGCGATTGTACTGAGTATTCACTACAGTCCCTGTGGAGCTGGTAACTGTATCTTTTTGTGGGCAGGATTCCTGTGGAGGGCCAAACACCTGTTCAAAAATTGTCATTTGTGTTAGTCCATGATCCAAGGGTTGCTTATTTGTGCTTGCATGTGGAATTGTCTGGCAGCACTAGTTGCAGCTCCATGCATTGCGGCTGATATAAGGGTCGCCTCATCTCGCACCAGCCTAATGCTCCTAGGCCGCTGTGCCCAGGACTCCTAGAGACTGGAAAGGTCAGGTGATTTTCTCATAGCTGCTTTCTCAAGTAATGTTGATTCCATTGCAGCTCGAGACGGTCATTGGTACGATGGAAGACTGTCGTTAAGCTTCCTTGCTCCGAGCAACATCTGCACAGCGGCACAGGCTCTGTCTCTGAAAGGGAGAGTAGGTAGATTCTTTTAAAGTCGTAGTCACCTTTGTGAGCATGCTGACTAACGGAAGTCCATGCGCATCTGTGGATGCGGGACTGCTTTGCTGCACCAGCAGCAAAGCAGTCCCGCATCAGCAAATGCCCAACTGGGGCCTCCCGCCTAGGGACTGGAGGAAAGTCCAGCTGCCCTTTTGAGAACGAATTAATTAAGCGTTATAATTCTATCATTACTGTTAACGCTCATAGAGCCTGCGGAGGACTTTTGTCACGGTCGGTACATCTGCTGGATTGCAGCATTTCTTGTTGCAAACACTTTCTGAGAGGTAACGTCAAGTGCAAGCATGCCCAAGCTACCTCCCATATATCCCTTAACGCCATAAGCAAGTGTCAGTTAAGTATTGGGCTTAACAGATGCGTAAATCTCAATCCTTCCGCCGCGCCCTGGTAGTGCCTGCTAAATATTCCCCCTCACTTCACCAAGTAGCACGCGCTCACCCCTGCGTGCCTTCTCAATAAAAGGGAAGATGCACTTAGTGTAGCGAATACTCACTACAAGCACTGCAGCTTTGCCGTGCGCGTTGTGTAAGAGTGACGGTTGATTGAACAGTGGAGGTGTGTGTGAGTGCTTGTTGATGTTTATTGAGTAAATAATTGATGAATGTATTAAATACTGTTTACGAAGAGGCGTATTGATATGACTATAGAAGAGACTGAGGTGAGACTTCGTGCAAAAAGGTATTGCAACATGCCAAGCACTCTCCTCTCCCAGCGCCGAAGGCCGCAGTTCCGGGTCTAGTGGGGTTGCAGAACAGAACAATTTTGAGTTTAGAACAAGAGAGCAAACCTCCCTTAAGCTTTGTTAGCTTTGTTATTTTGCTGAATCAGATGAGATGCCTGAGAGACAGTAGCAGTTTACTTGACGGCTTCNGTTATTTTGCTGAATCAGATGAGATGCCTGAGAGACAGTAGCAGTTTACTTGACGGCTTCACTCAACTTACGCCAGCCGGGCTGTTTTACGCAGATGTGGGGTTCTAAGGATGAGCCCCATAGTAGTCTTTCAGAGGAACAGCCTACGAACATCTCATGTTTATCGAACACATTGCAATAAAGAGTAATATTCTATATTAACGTGAACAAATCTCCGCATGGCATGTGAGGGACTGAGGGCTCAGCCCACGCATCAGCCGCTTCCTTGGCCCGCAGTACCTCCATTCTCAGGGATTCACAACATCATATCATGTGAGGTAACTCGGATCCCTACTAGGCCTCACAGTTGGGTTTTTTTGTCTGCATCTTTATTGTCCTTGGGGGCACAAGACGTAGAGCTGCGAACATTGACTGGCGCACGCATTGGCATTGACGAGAGTCGGATCAAGTTCCGGGGACCCTAAGATCCTTAAGTCTCCAAACTCCACTTAGCTGACCTTCTGTAGAGGAGTTTCTCACACCCGCGCCGCCAGCGGTCTTCTCGCTTCGACGGACAGATTGTTATTATTTAGCCGCCTAGAGGCTAGGCGGTCTCGCAGGCGCAGGTAAGTTGAATGCTGAATATCTCTTGTGCTGCTCTTTCCTTCTTAGGGTGTAAGTGTTCCTAAGAGAATAAGGGTAAATTATGCTTGCTACCACTGGCTGGAATTGCTTCAAGACAGCTACACTGGGCCAGCTGCCACTGCACCGCACCGGCTCGCTTTGATGTTCCACCTCCTCTCTAGGCTAAAGCTGTCGGCCCCATTCATTTTCACAGCGGTCTGCCAGTGAACACTCTCCCTCTGACGCGTCATCTATAGTCGTGAGCAGGTATTCACTGCTGGCTACGTCTGATGAATTGTCAGCAGTTTCCTCATACCGTCATACCGCCGGCTGTCTATGCTGCCGGTTCAACAGGCTTCTCGGGGATGCCATCTATCTTCCTCTCGTGCAAAGCTGCGCCACCACGCCTTTAGCCCGCCCACCTGGCCCAAATGTTCTGACGTGGAGGGCAATGGTGGCTAGACGTCGGATGTCTGCTGTTCACTGGTGTGTGTATCGCGTACGGAAAGTGACTTTAACCCCAAAGAGCCGGCAACCATGGTTGGAAATGTCTTTATTAGCAATCCACCATAGGTATTTCAAGTAAGGCTAGAAGGGTTTTGGCGGCTTGGAGTGGAATATTGACGACCAATAACTGGTCAACGAATGAATAAAATTACTGGTATGTTTATTTTTGTTGAAATGAGATATCGTTTAAAATTGCCACGCCTGTTTGAGGCAGAGCCTATTTGTATGCTCAAAAGCCGGTCAATTATGAAGTTGACAAAAATCTGAGAGCCTGAGGTAGACTATTTGATTTAGGCAGTGAGCATCCCCAAGTTTTTGAGCCAACATGTTACAGCTATTACTGCTACTGACTGGATTTTAAGCTCGATGTCAGCCATGTAGCATTAGGCCTGATGATTCATGCATCTGCATCTGTATACCCTAGAAGAAACAACCCTCACGGCTGGTAGCCCGCTGTCGATATCTGCAGAGACTTAAAACCTGGGCTGAGTGGTGTATGGTAGGAAGACACAAAAAGTGTGGCGGAATCGTTACAGCTGTGCAGGAGAAGTGGGTACTTCTAGCTTTGAAAATCAGTGGGGGCAAGAATAGCTGCTGATGTCTGTCCTGGGCCAAATATGAAGCCGCACGCTGCGCGCTTCAGGGTGGTTCCAATCAATCGCCTTCTTCCTCCGCCGCACTGCCCTGTTCACTACGTTGTGCATCTGCTCTAGATATTGCTTCAAACGGTTCAGAATCTTCATTAGTGTGGCTGCTGCTTGCAGCCGACGGTGCTTCGACCTCATCCGCTGGGCCGGCAAAAGCATTCTGCATGAAGAAAGATTCTAACTGTCCTCCCCCATCATCCCCTGTTCTCGTGTCGCTATCTTGCTCTTCCCCTTCCAGTTGGTCATTATATTCTTGGATCATTCGCTTGTATTCCAGCATCTGCTGGCGTGCTGCAATAAGATCTCTCTGCCGTTGTATATTAAGTACCTCTCGATACGCAGACATGGATGTGCCCCAGCGCCTCCAACTCTCAAGGCCCGCTAGGAACAGAAGAATGCAAGCCACTGCTGCCACCAAGAAGATCCCACCAATCGGTCGCATTAGATCATTTTCTTCTGTTGAATCGTCGTCTCCTTGAGATGGCTGATCCGGCGGCACAGGGAAACTAACAACGCTTACCTCACAGCCATCGCCGCTCGCGCAGCTGCGAGTTTCAAAAATGCTAGATGGACAGGCTTTCCCTCCCGCGGAGGCTGCGCGGAGTATGTGCCAAACACGCATCTGCCGACATCCAATGCACTCCGACCAGCGCGAAGGAGATGGATAGCAATCTTCATCTCTTAGAAGACTTGTGCCAAAAATCGAGTTACAGAGTCCTTCTGCAGTTAACATACAGAGTTGCATAAGACACAACGACTATCGAGTTCGTTGCTGCAGTAACCAAAGCCTGATACCCTTTTTTGCGTCTACGGCCGACTAGATGACTTGTCAATGGCCAGCAGTTTGTGATTTAGCAATCTAAACGCTTATTGGACTAGGTAGCAGAAATGCGTATGCGAAGAATGTTTCGCCCAAGGGTCTCCCATACCCGCACAAGGTTCATGCTGAAAAAATTGGCAGGGGACACCGCCTTCCTTCTCCGTTTGGTAAACTTGCATAAACCTGCAGCAACGACGGTTACAGGACTATCTCACGGCTCCGTAAAACTTTTGTTCCCCCGGATTGTACTTATATTTTGATGAGGTTTAGCACGCTCGTATTGAGCCTAACTCGCTCAAGCCCACATTGACTGAGCCGCCCTGAAAGTCTACAAAGCAGAAAGGCAAACCTTGCTAACCCCGCCCCCCCCACCCCTTTTCCACGTGCCTTTTCCTTCGACAATCAGCTTGACAGGCGGTCCACTCGCTCCATGCTCCTTGGCAGTCAAGGCTTGCGTGAGAGTTAAGCCTTTGCACAAATGGAATACTACAATGGGCAGGACCCAAAAATCCTCCAGTAGGACAGGTCTCCAAAGGCATGCCGAACACCTGGACCTCTCCAATCCTGAAAGGATTTGCTGCCCTTATGGTAATTGTCTTAGCGCGGTACAGTCGCAAATCCATCACCTCCCACACACTTTGTGCTGCGGGAGAGGGAGGCACACTTGTCTGCCATGTATGGATATTTTCTCCACTGTCGTCCTCCACAGATAGTGAAAACTCAAATGAGCCCACTTGAGACGTTGTTGTGCCAGACTGCCCGGTTGCAGAAGCAAATGCTATGCGCAAATGCCATACATCTACGGCGGTCTTCATCTCTATAGTTGCTGAGGCCTCCCCGTCCGCCCCAACGTTGAGTTGAGTTGAAGTGTCAAGCAAACTGTCTTGCCATACTTCCAACTCCGCTGGACTTTCAGAGGCACCTGAATCTTCGCTAGACCTTATCAGCAGTTCTCCGTCGTTGATTCCAACAAATTTAGGGTTGTCTGTGTCAAGGGACACTATCGGTTGAACTGCTTCACGTGTCGACGCCTTTGCACCGTCATCCGACTGTTTGTTAATTACGATGCTTCCAATCTCGACACGGCTGCACGGAGCTTCAAGGCAATGCCTCGACAGTTCTGTTCCAACTTGGAATGCACATGCGGAACCCCCACGGGAGGCAACTTTCACTTGATAGGCGTGCAGCGAGACACAAAACTCAGAGCACGTAGCCGAGGAGAACGGAGGGGACCACCTGAATCACAACAGCGCCGGAAGCGTACCGCTTTTCCCTTTTCAGCATAGTTCAGTTCTGCTTGCATTTTGGATTAGCCCTGAGGAAACAAAAATGAGCAGTAATCCAGAGGATATTAGCGAGGGATGCGTTGGACGGACTCTCCCAAGCAGTCGCCTTCCGCGTAGAACCCAGTTGCCCTTTGTACGGAAGCGATTCTTCCCGGTAGGTCCGCAGGAACGTAGTAAAAGCTTTCGTCAACAGAAAACCTCTTTGTAGTTAACATATTTATCCAGACGACTGAGTCTGGGCCCCTCTGTAAAGATGTCACCGTCCGTGTAGGGAGCAAAGAACCATGCAAAACACGCCGAATCTCTACTTGAGATTCCTCCCTCAGCGACCCATCCCGGAGTCGCTCTTCAATATGCAGGACGTGGTTTACTGAATCATGATGCAGCAGCAACACGGAAGCGCTACCCGCAGCAGAACAGTGGAATGAGCGGTAAGCATCTGCATTGAAAACTCGCAGTGTCATTTCATTATATGAGCGGGTGCCAGATATGGGTACTTGCATATATAGCAGCTGCCCCGGTCTCGAAGAAGAATATTCCGGAAACGGTTCATCATCCCACCATGGAAGAGGTGTAGTTTCCCAAGAAGCATCCGAATTACGTACAAAAGGCCACGAGAGCTTTCGTTGCTTGTTTGAAGCTGCTACTGGTTCCTCGAGAGCAAGGAACACGGCCCACTGGTCATAGAACACTGGGGCAACGCAGAAGCTCTTGATCACCGCCGGGGAGACAAATTTTGCCGATGGCAGTTGAAATCCACCCGCTGCAACAAATCTTGTATCGCTGTCAAGGGGTTTGCTGAAGAAATATGTCATGTCGTTGGCTGTTGGATGCTCAGCGAAAATGGCATCCGGAATTTTGGTATTTGCCACTTCAGGCCTCTTGAGACTTGAAATAAACGACGTCCCTTTATTTTCCTGTGCATTTGCCAGCGAATCATAGTAAAACAGCACCTGTTGAAGCTTCTTTCGGCTCTCGTCGGCAACTGTATACTCGGCCCCCCGCACGATGTAGTAGCTCCGCACTGCCTCTGGTGGGTAAAAATTCTCGTGGTAGGCACCAGAGCGTGACAGCCAAAGATTGTTGGGGTACTGCACAGAAACCTGAGTCATTCTACCGAATTCCCTTATTTGCAACGTGTTGCTGAGGGAGCCTATGGCAAAATGCTTGTGCACTCGACTGCCATCTTTCCCCGGTCCAAGAAATACAAAGGAGTCTCCATATGTGTGGGGGGTAAGGTTCGGGCAGTCCTGCGAGAGCTGGTTCTCTTCGATTGAAGTGAAATATTCAAGGGGTACTCCATCTTCACCACCGTTGTGTAGGCATAGAGGACACTCGTGGCTCAACGTTACAGATGGGGCGCCAACAACTTGCTCGAAACTTGACAAGACTTCGGGTTGCCGTACGTCGTAGAAGACAACTTCGCATGGTAGATTCGAGTTGGCGACGCAACACTTAAGATAAATGCATGCGGAAGGAAGCATACGAGTGAAGGCAACAAAATAGGCTATATAACCTTGTTCATCTATTCTGTATCCAAAGAATCGCGGTTCCTGACGATCACCTGCCGTCAATGTCAATTCTGATCCCTCTTGTTCACCGTCACTGCGAATCTCTACTCTCCTAGCAATACACATTTTTTGTCGTCTTCTAAGCAACAAAGGAGTCTCGTCAGGTTTGGCTGTGACGAGTTTATTGCCGTCGAACCTCCAACCACGCAGCATCGCATCGGTGTATGGGCAGTGATGGTAAACTACGTGAATAGAACCGGAATCCGCTGCATCAATTAGTAGTGGTTCTGAATAGGGCTCTCCCGAATCCATGTACAAGCCGTATGGCTCGTAGGAAACTCCATAGTCACTTGCTAAGCTGTGGTTGGCAGCAAAAACAACCTCCAGTAGCTCTACTTTGGGCAGTGAGGCAACAGGCAAAACAAAGCCTGTTGAATGAAATAAGAATGTATTACGTTGATCGTATGTTTTTTTAGACTGATCAGGATACGCGCGTCGTATCGGACGAAGGTCCTGTTGAGGAAGCACACTCATACAGGCAAGGAAAGCAATGAGCGCCTGTGCCGTCCGCGTAAGTGCTTTTCGAACTGTCCTCCCCCAAAACCCATTTTGCAGCCGATATTGGGGCATCTTAGCTCATTGAAAAAAGCCGACACGGTCTGGCCCATAGTTGAGTTCGCATGCAACATTCTTGGTCTGATTCGTTAACATTTCATTGTTCCCCGCAGCAAACGAAGCTCGTAGCGATAAGAAACTAGGAATGATCGGCGGAGGCTTTGATACTGGTACTGCCAGGGGAGATATCTGAACAATATGTATTCCAAAGCTTGAAACTATCTATTGCAGAGCTCATAGACCATCTAAACAAGAGGGGCAGGCTGATGTGTTCCTGTACAGTGTCTTCAATCGGCATTTCCCTTCCGGCAGCCTTTGATTTTCCTTGGAAAAAAATTCCCTGCAACCCGCCCCAGTCCGAGAAATGCGAGAAAGCGCTTGCGGAGAAGCTTCCAATACAATCAGCTGGTTGCAGCTTATCAATGCGGCTTATTGTCAATGCCGGAGCATTTGCTTCTTCGAGAAAATTTGAAGTCTGCAGCGAAGCTGTTGTTTATCATGCTTGATCAGAGTCCACTCGCCAACGTGAGTGTCCGTGTCGTTCTCCTTCTTTGCATCCTACGATCGATTCTGGTAAAGGAGTTTGACAGGAGAGTAAAGTTGAGTCCCCAAAATTTTGCTTTCGAAAGGTTCCTTAGCGCTCATCTTCCTCTGCTTTCAGATGAACAAAGCATTGTATTACCGACAAAAAGACAGAAAGGCGCTAACATTTGTTTTCCACTTAACTGAGAGGAAATGGGGCTGCTTTATTACTGATCTCTACGTCCTGCGTCTCGGGAAGCTGCTTCATGTTTTGTGCCAGCACAATGTTGAGTCTATTCCTTTCTTGCACCGATTCGGCTGCGAAGTATCCAAGTAGAGGCTTGTATTTTCTTTATTTGTAGAACTGTACACCCGACATGCACAGTCCTATTCAAGCCAATGTCCTATTCAGCTACATAGTCAGGAGAATAATCTATTGAGTTCGAGCTTGGAGCTGCAACTACTACCATCTTCACACGCTAAGAAATACTCTTCGTTACCTCTAAAAGGCTGGCTATACGATGCCTCGCTATGTGTTGGCTCGCACGCTTCCTCCACTTATGAAGATAGACACTATCTATTTGGCATACTAATTTTCGTTACTGTTCCGAAATCTGTGTATGTGCATATGGAATTAAGTGTGCCATGGTGAGCCATGGGGCTGCCCGCTCTAGGCATGCGCTGCCCTTTGGGGCTGGATGCGAGATGCATCTATCTCATGGGATTTGGCAGGCAAAGTACTCAATAATACTGAATAGTTGGTCAACAATGTATGCTATATGTGATGCCCAAGAAGAGTTGCACTGGGGATCCTATCATTCAACGCAGATGCCATTCGGTAGGCGTGCTGCAGAGCGACCAAGCGTTCAGTGCCTTGCTGGTTGCACTTCAGGTTGTGTGTAAAATTGTGTGTGGGCGATCTATGTCGTTTGGCTCTATGGGCAAGAAGTCATTTCATGATGCAGTGATGAAGCGTGATCGGCCTGCGATTAGCATAAGAAGATTGACCTGGCCTCGGTAGGTTGCCTGCAAGCATACACAAACAATTAAAAAAGCGTGTACAGAGGTAAACCATGTAGTAAAGGAAGGCTTGTTGAAGCTTTGTTATGCGCAGACGTGGAGCTGGCTTGCATCGCGCGCCGCAGTGAGGTGCGCTAAGGCTAGGTGCTCCACTAAGGCTGCTTCCTCGCAACGACCCCCAGGCCCTGAGCTCAACACCTAGTATGCTCTTGGACACGTGAAGCAGTTCAGCGGCATCTATAAGGAACTCTTACCACACTTTTTTTTGCATCATTGATGCGCGCTCTAGTCCTTTTGTAGTGAATACTCACTACAATCACGGCAACACTGCCGTGCTCGTTCTGCACGAGTCAGGGTTGATTGAACAGTGGAAATGTATGTGAGCATTTGTTGATGTTTATTGAGTAAATAATTGGTGAATGTATTAAATACTGTTTACGAAGAGGCGTATTGATATGACTATAGGAGAGACTGGGGTGAGCCTTCGTGCAAAAGGTATTGCAACATGCCAAGCACTCTCCTCTCCCAGCGCCGTAGGCCGCCGTTCCGGCTCTAGTGGGGTTGCAGAACAGAACAATTTGGAGATTAAAACAAGAGGAAAACCTCCCTTAAGCTCTGTTAGCTTTGTTATTTTGCTGAATCAGATGAGATGCCTGAGAGACAGTAGCAGTTTACTTGACGGCTTCNGTTATTTTGCTGAATCAGATGAGATGCCTGAGAGACAGTAGCAGTTTACTTGACGGCTTCACTCAACTTATGCCTGCCGGGCTGTTTTACGCAGATGTGGGGTTCTAAGGATGCGCCCCACAGTAGTCTTTCAGAGGAACAACCTACGAACATCTCATGTTTATTGAACACATTGCAATAAAGAGTAATATTCTTTATTAACGTGAACAAATCTCCGCATAGCGTGTGAGGGACTGAGGGCTCAGCCCACGCATCAGCCGCTTCCTTGGCCCGTAGTACCTCAATTCTTAGGGATTCACAACATCCTATCATGTGAGGCAACTCGGATCCCTACTAGCTCTCGCAGTTGGGGTTTTTGTCTGCATTTGTGTTGTCCTTCGAGGCACAAGACGCAGAGCTGCGAGCATTGCTTGGTGCGACATTGACGAGAGTCGGATCAAGTTCCGAGGGCCCTATGATCCTTAAGATACAAGCAAACATGTGTGTATACACTTACTTCGGGCAGACCCTGTTGCACGTGCGCTCCCATCACTACCGGAAGCACGCTGGGCATCGTGCGCCGAGCGTCATCCGAAATGGGAGGATGCAGGAACCGAGCAAGCGTCCTTCACTCCAGAGGACGGCAAAAATGCAACGAATAGGGACAAGGAAGTGGAAATATTGTCACAGAAACTCACAATTTTTAAGACATCTGACCACGCGTAGTTAGGTTGGATCCAAGTGATAGCTATAGCCACTCAACAGCCAAGACTTCTAATTCATTTAATTGCTGCGAGACTCACCTTCCTGATGACATATATATACATCCATAAGTAGAAGCCAAAGTAACACAGTGTTCTGTTCCGTCGCTTTTTTCCACCTTCGGAGGTTATCCTAGCCCCAAGTGAGAGCAGAGCGCCACACCGCCTACTAAATGAAGGCGCCATCTGTTGCAAGACCAAGGTGATAAGATGCGGAGGGATGTATGCTAATCCCAACAGAAAATTCATTAGGTCACAACTCCAGATAGATATAAGAAAATGATGCCCGAGACAACCGTTGTTATACAGACGTTGTACGGGTACATAATGTGGTGCGAGGAAGTACGTTGTAATTAGCGTGGTATTCTGCTGCGCTACTGAAAGCCAAGCTTGCGACAGGCGTCATGGCACAGAGGGCTCCTCACAAAAGTTCCTCTGAATGCGTTCAAACAATCTTCAGAAACTCACTCGGTTTGCGGTCGTCTGGTTGCTTGGCGTAACGTTCTCGATTTGTGGCATCTTCCAGCAATCCTTTAAGATGTCATTCTGCTATGTGGAACATCAGGCTGACGAATGCAATCCTGCACCATAGACCCATTCTACACAAGGAATTTAATCAAGTCAATTTAATAAAGCCTGCATGGTATACAGCAGCAGCATTGCGCCAACCTGTAGTAAGACCGAACGGTTCCAAGTGTATGGCAGTGGTATACTAAGACTGGGATGCTGCTGTGGCGGGAAATCGCGCTAGAAATGCTTAGAAGCCCTCAGTCCTGTAATGCTTCGTAATGCTTCGGAGGGTTCATGGGGCCTGCATGGAATGACTAAATTGTTCTTTCTGCTGTAAATGAACTCGCGCGGGGAATGAAATGGGCATATTTGCCTGGAGTCCGCATAGCGACGTAAGCTGCGTCGGAGCCTGACTGATGTTAATCGCAATATGTACTGCATCGAGTTATCTGTCCAAATCTGTTTAGGGATCGGATGACTCCTCAGGCGTCCGAATTTTAGAGTGTTTCTTGGTATATGCTGCAGATTTTATCGAAGCAATGCTATTTATCCCCTTTTTTGAAGTAGTTTTATACTAGAACTGCGCGCTCGTCGACCCCTTTCTCCTTGGCCTCGCTGGTTTACACCGAAGTTCTACTGCTTCACCCACCGTTTGGCCTAGACAGGGGCAACCCCCATACAGGCCCAAGGACAAACTTCAAGGCACAGCGTAAGGCAGCACTGGAAATACTGTAGGAAGCACATGGCCATCAGGCAAGAGGAAAGCCTAAAATGTGCTCGGTAACAAAGGTGCGTTGGCCTTCGTTAATCCTCACGCTTTCCTAGGCCTTCAGGAAGGTGAAAAGCCGAATATGTTCTTTCTCCAACAGACTGCCATGCAGAGTTTACAACAGCACTGGAAATGCTGATGAGAGGGCAGGAGTATTAGGCAGCCAGTTAATGCGAAAGGTTCTTGGTAACAAAAGTATGTTGGCCTACAGAGGGCGAGCACCTGAAAATGTTCGTCACGAACCACCCGCATTTCGTCCAGCTCCTGCGAAAACGTGACACCAACCTCGCTTGCGAAGGACCAACAAAAGGACGCTGGGTTCCTGGAGACATGTGTAGCTACTTGGAGAGACCATAGAAAACAAGGGCACTACGTTAGTTGCAGAAGTGAGCGACTACCCAATTGAGTTATTCACGATCGCTTGCTCAAAGCCATTCCGCAAGAACAGCTACGTGCTGTGCTTGATGGAGCGGAATGAAAGCCCTACCTATGTATGCAAATATATTATGTATGTATGTACCGGGCAACATACAAAATCTGCAACATCTGTTGACAGTCGCCGTGTCGCGGGTCGTTGCGGTGATCTTCGCCCCTCTTTACGGTTAGTACATTGGAGGCACACCAAGCTAGCCGTGCATCTAGACTCCCATCTACATTGCGAGCGGTTCGACAGCGTGCACCTGCCGGCTTTTACAATTTTGTTTAGGTTGGGATGCACGAATTGAAGGGCGGCTCCCAACTGAGACGCACCTCGAGAGCTTCGGCTGACCGGCTGCAGCATCATGCACTCGGCAGCAGCAGCAGCTTATATTATTTGCAGCAGCTGCGGAGGCCCTCATCTGGCCTTTGTTCGGGGTGCCTAACCACCTTCGCCACAATCCCTGTGGCGCTTGTAAAACAGTTGGCGTTCACCGTGAATGAGAAGCCCTTCGTTGTATCGATTTAGATGCTTCTGGTGGCATTCAACGACATAATGGACCATACGTAGGTCAGAGTTAGCTACAGCGGGTTACTGTCCTCCTCCGATTATGTGTANTACACATAATCGGAGGAGGACAGTAACCCGCTGTAGCTAACTCTGACCTACGTATGGTCCATTATGTCGTAGCCTGCACGGCCATATTCGAGAGGAAATGCGTCAAGCTGTCCTGTGTTCCAAAATTAATCGGTTTCAGCTACGCATGATATACACTGTCTACACACTGCCTATGAATTAAGCGAGACAGCCGCGCAAATCCACAGTTCCCGCATCTTCAGGAAGACACTTACTGGGGATCTGCGTTCCACTGAAATAATGGAGTTGAAAATAGCCGTGTCATTTGTCACTTCAAGGCATCACAGCAATGAAAGCCTGGTGATTGAGCAACATGCGAAGTTTGGCGCATGCAGATGCGATGCTTATTTGCATGCTACCTGTAAAATCCTGCCTCAAAATACTATGTGATCAGAGAAAAGCATCTAACTCTTGAAAAAGCGAAATCGAAGGAACAGCGGACCTCATGAATCATGCCGCCGTCCTTGTGTACAGTCGACGGCTGCAAGAAGTACGAGGCGGGCATTTCCATCAAGCAAAATACAATTGTGCTTGTTGTGTGTCAGGGCATGGTAATATGCCCCGAAAAATAAGCAGTAGGGCCTATAACAGACTAACACCAGAAAATGAAACAACCTATAACTAAAAACGCCCCACAGCGCGCTACTGCGAAAAGCACACTCGTCGTTGAACTGTAGGACAACCCCATGTTCGTGACCCTTCCGCGTACTGGCCCCCGCTCGCTCCCTCCTGCGCGCTTCATAGAAACAAGATGCGTTGCTATATTTCAAAAGGCGACGAAGACGACCTTGGGAAGGGGCTGCAATGTGTCAACTTTTCTGCCGCTCTTCAACAAAACAACCCTTTTATTTGAGTGTAGTAGGCGCGCATCGCTGCAGCTGCCTCTGCCATCTCCTGAATTGTCCCTGACGACTCAGCTTCTTCCAGGGCTGCTCTGAAGTTGCTGTGCAACGCCTGCATCTTTTCCTGGTTAACATCCAGGTATCTAGGGTCTGATACTATGGCATCCTCCTCCTTTGCAATATAAACAATGTCCTGCTGTAAAATACTTATGAGATGTACGTTCAGCAACTCCAGGAGAGACTCTTCCTTCTGGTGGATTATAGAATTCCCGATAACCTTGAGTCCCTCCAGCGCCTGTGCAGCAGTCGACAGCTTATCCACCGTTTGCAATTCGAGGAGTGCAGATTCGGCGTAACGCATTTCTTCGTCAGACAACTCCATTGCTTGGTTCATTTTACTGCGGACGTGTTCGGCAACGCGAGCATGCTGCCTTTGCATTGCTGTCGCAGAAGGTAGTTTGCCCTTAATTATGACACCTTCAACTCTCCTTTCGACATCCTCACAGGCATTCTTCGTGACTTCATGTTTACCAGCAACAAATTGGCGGTATTTTTCAACCGCTTCATTCATGGCCTGCTTGCTCTCCTCGCCTAGCTCCTCAGTCTTTGGTTCGAATTCACTGAGCATCCCCACTATCCTGTCAAGATCTGCAGAAACCTCATCCTCGGTATCTTGACTCTCGGAGCAAACAGCAAGCATATCCCGCAGTGAATGAGATGTTCGCAATCTTTTGGCAGGCTCCAACAGCTCGGAAACCTTGCCGGAGATGTCCTGCAGCTCCTCCTCAACACTACTCAGAATCGCCGCCTTCTCCTTCCAGGAAGCGTCTTCCTTCGCAGAATCTGGAGTATTCTCTAGTGCAATTCTGCTTTGATTCAGATGAAGGCGTGCTATATCGATGCCCACCTGAAAACGGAAACGTTTGGCCTCTCTCTCCGCAAGCATCGTCACCTTTAAGCCGTTAGCGGAGCCGCTCACCAAACCCTTCGCAAGCTGTTCCACGTGCTTCTGCACTTCCACAGTGGAAAACAAAGAACTAATCCTAGCGGCTGTAGACTGTAGCTGCCGGAGATCGTCGTCCTGTGCAGCCGCATCGGTTTTCGTCAGCTCCCCATGAACTGCTTTTGCACTTGAAGAGAGAGCTTCTGAAATCTTGTACACTGAAGACAATGATTTCAAATATGGTCTCACTGCGGTTTCGTGGAAGCTCTCCAAAGACTGCATTTCCGCAATCGGATTCGGCTCCTTCGCGTCCAAGAGTGGAGAGAGCGAAACAACTTTGCTCTGCTCTACGATCTCATCAGCGCCTTCTATTACCTGTCCGTGCAGCGCTTGTACGCAATCAATCGCATCGATAAGATACGCTTCCACCTCCTCTGCATTCCCCCCTTCGCGCTGCAACATATCAGCTTTGGCTAAATCTTCCTGCAATCTGTCCATCTGTTCGGTGGCCTCTGGACTATCTATTGCCTCAGCTATCATTGAGGCAGTCGCAACCAAGCCTCTGACCTTCTCCAGTCGTTCATCGCTTCGTGAATCATCCTTGGGAGTAGAAGCCGATCCCTCCCGGGGTTTAAAAAGGGAGCCTAAGGCCCGTCGGTGGAACTGAAATGCCACTGCAACTGATATACCCAGGGCCACAAGTACCGCCAGTTTCCGCCAGACTCTGCCTTTGTGGGCGCCTTGCACTTCCCGGGGTGTTTTTTGTGTATCCTGTTCCTCTATAATGTTCTCAGAAACATCGAAAAAGGGATTCCTCACTCCAAAAGGTGCCGGTGCGGACGAGAAAGCTTCCAGCCCGGCAGCAGACCACAATGTTTGCAATCCCACGCCAAAGACTAGTGCAAGACACAAAATGAACGTCCTCCTCTTCTCAAAACCCATTTTCACAGCTCTAGGGAATGGCGGATTCTAAGCTGGAAGATTGCGCAGGAGTTCCAAATGCCTCACATTCTACGTTTGCTCGGCAAACTACGTCTGCGAAGTAGTTTGCTTTGCAGAACACTTTTGAGAAGCAAAAGTAGAATGAGAAGGCGTTTGGAGCTTAGAATGAGGAGGCGCCTGGATTGCAGCTGGTTCGCAAACGCTGCTTTTAGCTGTCAATGCGACCAGATGCTACGCCAGATCCACCAAATCGCCCCAACATTCGGAGTTCCAGCTCTTGTGAGCTTACTTGCTCAAATAGGAGCCAGAAACCGGTAAATTGCTCCTTAAACCACGCCAGTGGGAAACACATGACAGCCTCAACACTGTTTTCAATATTGGATGCAGCCCCACGTTGGCCGGGGGCCTGTGAATCCCAAGTACGCCTAAATGCTCTTTGGTATAGCTCAAGCTCGTCTCTGTGTCAAGCTCACGACAGTAAATATGAGGAAATAAGTAAGCTCAATCCAACTGCTTCACAGTGGATTAATGACTTCCTTTGAAGCCCATCCGCGCCTCCAATTCAGGAACAGCGGGCGTAGCAGTAAATCGGGACGTTTACGGGGTGGCGTTGAACAACCCCTGAGATGCGCGACTATTTTAAACATGGTAACATATTGATGATTAGTAAATACACTCCAGAACAGGCTTAACTTGCTGCTCCATACCACTAGGCTTCATCCAGCCTTCCGTTATACCCGATCGCTGGCGAATGAGGAAAATGCCAGACACACGACCCTAGTAAACTGTTCATAAACAATGATTAACTTTAGTATCTTTATAATGCCAATATTGTCGGAGTGCCTGCAAGGGTCTCCACAGAGGCCCGACGAGCAGACGGAGTGAAGAGTTCACACAAGTAAACTGCACGAAAAGCTTGCTTCATTGAATTTGTCGGCCGAGAGTGTTTGGCAAGCAATGGTTCGGGGATTAGGAGCACAAGAGTTCGGTGCTACGTACGTGGGGGCGGGGGGAGTTGCACAGAACTATGGCGGTGTAGCATGGGCTGGCTTCGGTTCGCACACAAGGGGTGGCGACGAGGGACATCCTGAGGGCATCCTTGAAATTTCCTACTGTGACAACTCTTTCTATCAAAGCGGCCAGTCATGCTTATCAGTTTTGGAGCTCGAAATATTTGGTGTCCTGCTGGCAACTCGAACATAAATTCTAGTTGACCATTAGATGTTGCTGTCAATATACAGCTAATTTCCCGTACGAATAGATATTACTCTGAGCCATTACAGACGCACATGGCACGAGTCTCGCAGCAAGCCATGTCCGTAGAAGCAGGTGGTGCTGCTGAACGTATCGAGGGTCCTTGTTCCTAGCCTAGGATCGTTGTGAGCTGTACAGCACCAGCACTTAAGATCAAAGACTCTCATCACGGCTATTGCCGTGATGAGAGTCTTTGATCTTGGCAGAGAGCTGCGGTGAGTTGCAACCAAGTCGAAAGCCCTAGATGAACGTTCAACAAAACCAGTTGACATTTCTTCCATTCCCTGGTCGTTTTATTCACAGCGGCACACTTCCCTGGGGTTGATGAGGAGGGGATGCCGCTTGTCATGCCTTGCAGACCACGCTGCTGCAACTCGTGTTGCAAGGCAGCCCCTCATGCAGGTGTACGCAAGCCCGCCTTTTGATGCCCTCACTAATAATGTGTGCAAGCGTTATGCATTCACTCGGTACTCCGAAGCTAACGTACACTCAAGTAGCAATATTCGTACAGTACCAGATAGATCACGTTGAATATAGCCCCCTGGACTTGTCGCTCAGGCAGCGAATGCCTTTATGTGCCTTTGTACAAAACCAAGGCACATGAAGGCTGCGCTGCCCTCTCGTGCCTTCGTTTTGGGGCGGAGCAGGGGGGCGCAAAAGGGGGTTAGGGCTTAGGACCCAAAAATAAGAAGGGGAAAATGGCAAGTTGTGCTAGCAGCGCATACCGTTTCAGGTGGAGGCATTCTTCATGAATTGCTTTTCGTGAAAGCGCACTTCCGGCCAGGAGAGATGCAGATACCGCACGTTTTTGAGTGGGACAGTGCAGCATGAGTTAGTTCAGGAGCCTTCACTTGGTTTATGTTGCGTCTAAACGCGTGCAAACGTTCTACAAGTACATTCAGAGGTAGAGCCTGCAGCAAAGGAAGCTTGGCTGAAACTCCCTTGCGCGCACGCGTGGGGCTAACTTGTATTACTATCCACGGCGAGGCGCGCTGCAACCCCATATCTGGCTGCCTCCTCTCCGCAACACCCAGGCCGTGAGCTCAACGCCCAAGACGCCTAAGGACAGGGGAAGGAGGTCAGCTGCTTATGAGAAACTCCTGCTTTAGGTCTTTACCTACACGGCAGCTCGCCTCTGTCCTACATAAAGGCCAGAGAGCAACTGTTATAGAGAGCCTCCCCAGCCTTCCGTCACTTCCCTACAGCAGGGCAGATACTGTGACAGAGGAGAAAAGGGTATGTCTGCGACAAATATTTGAAAAATATGGTTAGGCTTTCTTCTGAGTTCTCATTCCACTAATTACTGCTGTGCACCAGGCCGCCCTGCTGTGTAGGTCAGGTACATTTCCCTCGCCTCTCCCGATGAACGATGAGGTGCCACAAACTGTAGCGAGAGCTCTCTATCTAATCAACGGGCTCTAACGCGCTGCAAAGGAATAAAAATACTTGAGAGTTTCCAGAGGCAGATAAACGGCAGCCTAACACGAACGGCCCAAGGGCCTAGGCGGCCTGACACGAGTTGCAACGAACCCCGCTGCAACTCGGGCCGCAAAGCAACACCGCATGCAAACCCGACAAATCCCATTTAGTTGCATGCACTAGTAGTATAGAGAACTGCTGAACACTTAATGTCCCGCATACAAACTAACTCAGGCAATGTTTCAGCAGCTGCCGTGCCACCCAGAACAACGAAAGTCATCGGCCTTATTCGAGAACCGTGGGGAGCTGCAACGACGCCAAAAGATCTAAGGTACGAGTGTGATAAAAGGAGTTGGTGTCCCTCCCTAGTCTCCAGGTATCCTGCGCGCAGCGGTTTAGGTCCTGAGGGCGGTGTAGGAGGAAGCATCCTGACGTGAGTTGCACCTCACTGCAACTGATGATGCAAGTCAGCCGCACGCGTCGGCACGACCAAACTTTCTTTGTTGCCTCTGTAGACACTTATTGAACATTTGTATTTCCTTCCAGACACACGCCACGATCAGTTCCGTTTGCCCACGCCACACAGCGCATGCAGACAGCAGAGCCAAAACAGAGCAATGGAGAAGACTGATATCAAGTAAAAATCGAATTTAACGCCACATAGCCTTGACGAGGCACCCCCTTTTCTACTCCTTGAAGGTTTGGGAAGCTCGCTGTCACCCAGCTGGGGGCTGCCCTAGCAGCGCCCTAACCTGTTACCATATTTCGTTAGCTTTTATCCCTGTTCTACTGTTAGCTTGGAAGTCAGGGTTGTGACATCTCCTCAACTCTGCTGCTGAGCAGCAGTTGGGAGCATGCGACAGCAGCCAGTGGCTGCAGCGGTGTTTGGGGCTTTGGCAGGCTGCAAGTCAAGCCTGCAAACGATTTCCTCTAGAGGCGAGTAAAATTCTCTTCGTGTTTTTGCCACTCTTACTGACTATCTGCTGTTTACTACGAATTCGCAGCAGCTGTTTCGGTCTTGGCCGTTTGTGTCGCGAATATGACGTACGGCTCCGGCACCGTGGTGATGCCGATATTTCGGCGCGCGATGATTGGCGTTTGCGGCTTCATCTCGCTTTATGTAACTATGGAGCTGGCGGGCAAGCCCATCTATGCCCAGGTCACCACCAAGCTCGCCAAAGTGAGGCAGAACCCATAGGGAACTGCACATCACCTCTCTTCCACCATCGCTCGGCCCGGCGCAGGCACTCTCTCCATAGCCAAAAACTGCAGAGAGCGGTTGGGGAGTGTCTGTTCGGCATCTTTGGCGTTTGTCCGTGACTTCCTACATGTGCACGATACCCATGCCTCGCAGTTCCTCCTCCAGAATGGCGGGCGGCAGCTCTTCCCACACATTCGTCGATTCAGAGACAGCCATTGCCTTCAGTCATACCCGTATTGTTGGAGAGCGCACAGTCGTCATTTCTGCTTCACCGGATAGCTTCCAGCGCTTCGGCGGAAGAATGTCCGAGGGTGTTAGGCGTGCAGCAGACTGAGGGCTATCAGGCTGCGTGGGTTTATTATGGGATGTGTGCATGCATTCAGGTGTATCCATTTGTGTACATGTGTGTAACCCTCCGTCTTTGTGTGCATGCAGATGCGCAAGGAAGCATCGAGTGGGGCCCATGCTTCAGGAGGTCACTAGGATCCCAAGATTGTTCATTTATTACTTGCATAATTGTAGTCATTCCTGCCGACGGGTCCCTCTGCCAGTCCTGAAGTCCTTTACCATCCCTATTTACCCCCACCTTGTGCGGGAATGATCTCGGCGCCATGCGCTATTTTCTGCAAGCCGCAGGAACTCGTACGCCATTAGAGTCACAGAGATGGCTATGCGCTTGCCAGCCAATCACCCTTTACCTTACTCTAAAGAGTTTTCCAACTGCTGAAGCGCAGGACTGTTTCTTCATCACCTGGTGTAATTACGCATTCCCCCCTCTCCCACTTATTGACTATGTGCATGGACCTCCGGCGTCACATGACGGGCAATGGCTTAGGCCGCAAGGCATAGTTAGTACTTTTGCCGGAAGTAGATACAGACGACCGCGCAACTTCCCTCTTCCTTGTAATTAGTAGTTCGGCCAGACGCCATGGCATTTGCACCTTTTGCGCTGATGTCAGAACACTAATGAGGACTTACTCACAAGAACAGGATATCCGTAAGTGGAGGTTTAAAAATTTTTTACTTTAACAGACTCGACGATATCGCTTCTTCGCTGCCATGGAGCCCGTGGCTGGAGTTTCTTTTCCTCCAAGGGCAGCACATATGCTCACTGGGGGACTCTTCGATATGTAGATTTATCCGCGTGATGAGCTCAAGTGCACTGTGTGTACCAATTAACTATAAGAAGCCAAAACAAACCACCGGTGGCCACGTGCGGACGGCTCAGCAATACCGACGCGTTCATCGCCATGCTCATAAATTTGCGTGGTGCAGGAATCAGGTTTTTTGTTTTGCCTGTGGTTTGCGTTTCCCCTGCCTCGAAATAAATTTCCATCGAAAACACTGCCGTTAGTTGCCGTTACACCGCTCACTTTTGCGCTGGTGTGCACTCTTCAGCACATCAGGGGATGTAGATGGAGCTCGTGGCTCTGCTACGTTTCGTCTGAAAGTATGAGGAGTGCCTGTTGCTTGGAACGACTGAGGTGGGCGTGTGCCTCCAGAATCTAAGGGATTATTCTCTGTTAACACCGGATGAAAACACTGAACCTGCTACTGTTGCGAGCTGCAGGAAGTTTGCAAAAGCAAGGACGCCTTCGTTTCCCCTAGAATTTCGAACGCATGGAGTTGGCCTGGTTCTTTCTGCCGCTGGCCCCTGCTGCCGCAGCCCGGGAGCTGCATTGTTTTCTGGTGCGGCGCAGCGAACCCTGAATGCACGAAAATTCAATAAATTGCATTATTAGACACGCCACGCCACGGCCCCTCCCTTCCCCCCCCCGCCCGACTCCCCACGTACAAGCACAATGCACAATGCTTGTGGGGGCATCGCCCGATGCCGGATGAGTGACAGCATAACTTATAAGAGAGTGGCTTATGTATTCATAGATATATATATATGAGGCTTCTGTGGAGGAAGTCAAGCTTATGGCGCCACGGAGAAAGCGGATTCACCTACTCAGCCCAAAAGACTGAGTTGCAGTGCTTCAAGGACATACAAAAGAAATGTGGAGGCGTTGTCGGGCAATTGGACTCTTATTCTAACTTCATGTTCGCCATTCTAAAGCAAATTCTGCGTAAGACGCAGGGGACCACTGGGTTACGAGTGCAGTTTTGATGTATGGCCAACCTGCAGCCATTGCTAGCCCGCCGGGACCTCCTTCTGGTGGCTTTTGCGGCTTAAGACGATACTTGTTGCCATCTTAACTAGAGCAAGAAACTGGGGGAGCCGTCATGAGTCGCTGCACGTAGCGACGGGCCGACGGGCCCAACAGCGGCCGACGCAAGAGTCCATCTTCCGTGCTGTGTATTTCATTGAAACACGTCTCACACGGTTAGAAGAGGCCAACTGAATGTTTTGGGGCTAGAAAGTTGGGGTTCACTGGAGCGTTTAAGTCTTGCCACAGCCCCCTCCTGCCAGTCCACCGTCGGCTGCGCCGGCGCGAAACTTCCCTCCGGTAAGGGCCTGCAGTGAATGTCCATCTACATTTTTGTTCAATTGACTTTTGAAAAAAATACCGATCGGAAAATAAGCCGCAGCGCTTTGGGTTCAAGCTGTGGAGTCTCCGATTTGACGCATCCTTCCCGACTGACCGACCTCCCGACTGGGAAGCGGAGGGTCACAACCATCCTCTGTCTTGCGACTTGCCGTCCCCTTCACGCAGAATACGTTCGCTAAATAAATGCATGGCGATTAAGGCCTAAGACTTCTCAATTAGGGCAGGGCCTTCGCGCGACCAACTGCAGCTGGTCACTGCACCCTCTCTCTCCGGTCGAGCTGCAGGGAAGCTGGAAGCGGGGCATACACACACGCTTGGGATCCAAATGGATAGGCAACCAACTCAACAGCAGCATCTGCTGCAGCCTCACCAGCAGCAACAAAACCAGTACCCGCGCCAGCAGCAACAACAGCAACCCAACCACCCTCAAAGGCAGCAACTGCACCATATGCCGCCGCATCAACAACACCCTCAGCAACATCAGCAAGAAGAACAACGCCAACGCATAGTGATACAGAAAGAAGCCTCTGTCCTCTCCCACCGAGCAGCGAGTCTACCACCCTCCACCAGGCAGGCATCCCCTCGTGTTCCAGCTCAAAGCATTCCCAACCACATCCAGCAACAGCAGAACCAGCAAATGCATCAGCAGCAGAGACAGCAAATGCTTCACCAGCAGCTCGGTGGCAACGGCCTTGCAATGAGACCCACACAGACGCAGCAGCAACTTCCGTTCGCTGAACAATACAGGCAGCAAATGGCAGAGTCTCAGAAGGGGGAAATTATCGAGGCCCCACTTCTAACTGGCCCAGCAGCAGGGGCCTCCCGCTTTGATGTATTCCGAGGCCCCTCCCCTTGCTACTCGAACCCCCCTGTATACCCCTCCTTCCCATTGTCAGGCGCGGCATCATCAACGCTCCAGCACCAGTGGCAGCAGCAGCAACAGCAGCAGTGGCAGCAGCAGCAGCAGTGGCAGCAGCAGCAGCAGTGGCTGCAGCAGCAGTGGCACCAACAGCAGCTGATGCAGATGCAACAGCAAATAAGGCCCCTCTATGGAGCCCCTGGGTGCGCCGAGCCTATGAAGCCAACCAGTGCGATGGTACGCGCCTGACGTGAGTCAACGGTCTCCAGTGCATAGAGTTTCTGAATATGGTTCAGCATTCCCTGTATTGTGGTGTCTGTTCAGCTGCGTCCGACCCAGCTGCTTCCTATGCGGCTGCTAGGAGACCTCCGGCTGTACGTCCCCCACCGCGAACCCTTTTTGGGAGAAGGCGGGTAGGTCTCTCATTGCTTGATGCTTCTCATTGGTTACGGTTTCACGGTTAGGGCTTTGCTGTCTATTTTCCATTTAAAGTCCCGTTCCCCTTCTGCCGGCACATAGCCCCATCTCCCTTCTTCCGTCTGTACTTGCGTCTGCTCTCTCCAGAAGCGTGCACATGTACCTTCTGGGCAAGCAGGTAAAGCACTCTGTGGCTACAGACGAGGCGGAGGAGTGCACCCGAGACGTTCTGACCCTCATTGAGGCCAGGGAGGTTCCCGCAGATAGCACGATGCCCCTGCTCATACACGACGTGTGTACCTCCCTGCACCTTACCCCAACTCTAAACCCTGACGCAAACAGCTGCGTAGAGGCTAAACCTTAGACCTTCAAATATTAAAATATTAAAGTTTGAACACCTCCATGAAAAATTCCCTCGCCATTCTAACGTTGCCAGATGTCGGGGGCTGCCTTAGAGCTGCAGTACAGATGAATTGGCTTTGGATGTTAGGTTTTAAGATCTAGGGGTTCCACCACACATATCCATCCCCGCCCCTGCTGTGCTTCCTGAGTGCAACTGGTTCATCGCAGGGCCGTGTGGTCTGCGGAGGCCCTGAGGTATGCCTTCGATATTTGGCCAAAAAGCTCGGGCAGTACGGCAGCGATCATCTCAAGGACGCACTGCAAGACAGGCTGGTGGGCGCCCTTGCTTCTTCCACTGCTCCTTCTGTTTGTGCCTACGCCGCTGCAGCTAAGGACCCAACAGTACTGGTTGCTCCTGGCGATCTTCTATGAGTAGCTCCGCCCATGAAGCCCCTAGTGCCCCACGTTGCTCTTTTCTCCATGCACTTTTCGTTTGTGCGCCGCAGCTGATGGACCTCAATACTTGGTTCAATGTTCAGCAAGCCGCAGTTCAGTCCATTCTCTCTCCAGATTCGGTGGCTAAGGATGCCGTCAGCGACTACCTTAAGGTAGGTCAACAGTGAGAAACGAGCTTGTACTCCTATTGCAGTAGTAGCAGCACCAGAAACAGCACCAGTAACGGCAGAAGAGTGCTGCAGGCTGCGGCACTGTCTGTCGCAGAGCCGGCGTCATTTCTACCTGGAAGCCGAGAAGCTCTTATCGTTTTTCAACAACAAATACGCGTCCGCAACGCAGCAGGGGCTTGATGGCTCGCTGAGGGCCCCCAGCGTCACGCTTGACGCCTCCATAAGAGGACCGATGGTTACACGACTGCATCCTTTCTTTCTTGGGGAAGAAGACTCCCTGGCAGACTATTTTCTCTTCTCGCTCATTGACGACGATCAGAGGATAGCCGAGTGTCTTATCAGCAGCGGCAGCGAGGGATGCTCCAGTGGAGAGCAAAAGCAGCAACAGCAACAGCAACGGCACGGAGACTCTGAAACTTCAGAGGTGGAAATGCACTACTTCAACGAAACACCTCACCTGCACGCCCTCTACGTGTCTCTGCTGAACCTGCCTCTTATACAGGAGGCGTTGCTCTCAAACGACAGTCAGGAAACAGCAGCAGAAGCAACACCAGGAACAGCAGCGGCAACTGCACCTGACGAGGAAAGCCCAGATGTTTCCGGGCGACCAAAGGAGCGTATGGTGCCTTGCGTTGCTACGGAGGCCTCCACTGCTGCGTCCGTTAGCGACTCACCCCTGCAACACCTGCAGCGGCAGCAGCTGCTGCAGCTGCAACAGCAGCAACTGAAGCAGCTACAACAGCTGAGTACGTCAGAAACGATGCGCGCAGCAGCCCTCGGTCGCACGCCTTCCCAGTCCATTGGCATCAGCACTACTCCGAACTAGTTTCACCCAGATTGTTACGCATAGTTCGCAGCAGCACTAAACTCTTATGGAGGCCAGCATCCTGATACGACCTGCTGCCTCGAGGATACACACTTGGCTCCCTTGTGCAATGAAGAAGACGCCCTTTCTTGCTAGCATTCAGAGGCACGATTTTGCCCAGTGTCCTGTAGAATTCTTCGCGAAGGGCATGTGTTCTTGTCTGCAGGCCTAACTGGATCCCTCGTCCAGTGTGGGGAAGGGCCCCAGCCTTACTTCTTACCACCTGTGGGGGGCAGCTACTGCCTACCGCGGACCCCTGGAGCTGCTGCAGCGCTGCACACCACCCTGCCCGGGGGAGTTTCAGGGGGGATCATTGGTGGTCCCTGTGCCTTTTCCAGCGGTGCTGGCTACATGCAACACATGATGCCTCCGCAGGCAGCAGCCGCAGGGGCCCCTTATAGTGGGACATGCGCGGGGGCCCCATGCTACTGGCAACCCCTGACACCTGGGGGACCGCCACAACGCCAGCAGAACGTACAGACAGCAGAATGCAACGCTTACACAGCCGTGAATCCTGGTAATGGTCATGCACAGCAGTTGCAGCTGCACCTCCAGCAGCATGCAGGCCAGAAAGGGCCCAGCATGCCTCATGCGCAGCAGCCGCAGCAACACGCAGCCATGAACCCACCCCACTGCCCTTCCCCGCAGATAGCTGTCGGAGGCGATCTCGGGGGAGCTGCCAAATGAATCCATGGCCCATCCGGCAGCAGTAGGAGCACAGATGGTATTCGCTGTCACCTAATTGCGTCATACATGACTTATGCATGTCCAAGACCTTTCCATCTGTGTTTGGATATAAATGCATCGTGAGAGTAACACACATGTGACTGCCGTGGCCTCGCTACGTTGCAACTTCCCTTTTGGTTGGGAGGTTCAAAGTTCCCGTAGGCGTGCTTCCAGAGCCGCCTGCTGAATCGTTTTGTGTCCATCACATTTGGCCTTTCCGAACCTTAAAAGACACCCGCAGGCCTCTCAGGCATCACTATAGTTTTGCGGCCCTACTCGCATCGCCGCTCGTGAACATTCTGAGTATCGTCAGATCTATGGTAAATCCGGAGTAAAGTAAAGCTAAAAAGCCATGCAACGATGCTGTGGCGTGAGCTTACAGTGGCCTTGCTTCGATGCCCTAACCCCATAACCGCTAGCAGCCAGGGTCCAAAAAGGCAGCAGTACCACGGAAAAAGGCAAATGAAGCAACTGCTGACCTTGCACGTGCCTCTTCTGCAGTAGCAGCGTTTAGTGTTGGACTTGGGCAGTCGTCCCCAACACGTATTGCCGCTCATTCCCCAATGGCCCCGCAGTGCAGCCTGAGCGTGCAGCAGCAGGTCCTTGCTAGTGCCCAGGTGGCTCGTAGCAGCAAAACATTGGTAAACCCCTACAACAAATTGCATTCTCGCGGAAGGGACTCAAGCTCTACTTGTCCAGAGGGGCGTAGGGACCCGTGAGGAGTTCATCAGGCGGAGGCGCGAACGAGAGGCGGTTGGGGCCCCGCCGCTCCGGAGAAGCCGAGCTGCAACAGCAACGCCCACTAACGAGTCGCTTTATAGTACAAATACAAGAAAAGCAAGTGCGCTTTCCATAACTTCTCATCCAATGCATGCACCTAACCGCTCTCACACGGCTGCACAGCGGAATAAAGCAGCAATGCAGCGCCCCAATGGCAATAGGGTCATTTATAACGTGCTTCTACCGCAAAGAAATTCCCATGGTTTTCACAACAATAATCAAGAACAGCACGTTAGGTGGGGCGGCGTGCGGAGACCTGGGACTCACCGTGATCTCTGTCCCCTTTTCTTCCGTCTCTCTTCCGCCTCCTTGCGTCGTCGCATCATCTCCGCCTCGTCTGGCATTGCAGACTGCCAGAAAGAGGCGGCTGCTGCTCCCCTGATGTCTTGGCCGGGGGAAGGGCTGAGAAGCAGAGATTACAATATACACACTCATAGACTCGGTAGGCCATATCCACATATTGCACACATGCAAACATACTAACCGCTCTCCGCATTCGTCTAGAAATGCAAACTGCGCATTGCATGCGCTGCATTTCAAATCACCACTAGCGTCCCAAGACGCAAATCACGAAATACAACTTGAGAGCTAAACTCAGCTGCTTCCTTCCTGTACTCTACCGGGCGAAACCGACACCAGAGGCAAAATGAAAAACAGCGTCAACAGAGGCTGCAGCAACACTAGGTATTCGTGTTGCAGCGCGGTAATGACTAACCCGTAGGGCGACTGCAACACACGCAGCGCAAGTCACAACAAGGGTTTGAAATCACTGCAGTGGTCAAATATTCACAAGGTATCCACACAGCTGTTCAGCACTTAGCGGTTACGGTAGGAGCCTCAGGTGCGTAACTCACCTCTCGCCATCCTCCTCTGTGGCCTGTGGGTGCTGCGAACAACGCAAACATCAGCAACCTGAAAAGCAAGGATCTTACATGCAAGTGCCTCAAAACGCAAGCGCTGAGGCTCGCAAGTGCCAGGTCCCCTCGCCCTTCGCATGCGCTGCCATATCTGCAGGGTTAGCCCAAACATAAAGCTTAAGCCATAGCGCTTCGTACAGAAGTCCGGCCGATAGGCAACCATGGTACTGTAGGCTGTACATTCACGAATGCATTCAACACTAAACACTAAACGCGAGCGAAGCTGTAGAATGATCCGCGCATAATCGATGCCATGCAGTGACCGCGCGTGTAGGCCGGCGTGGCCATGGCTTTAGGGGTTAGAGATGAGGGTTTACAGGTGTCCCGTGTGAAACCATGAGCGTTGTGCTGCCTCCAGGCCTCCTCAATGCAGACGAGTCTCCACCGCAGCAGCCTTAAAGCCTTCTCTGTAGCCCCTTGGGTGCAGGCCCTGGCGACATAGCGCAGCCCCGTCCTCTCTGCCCCCCCATGGGCATAGCCTTCGCCACACGCATTTCAAACCACAAGCATTCCACTCCGGGTTCTTAAGATGCCACTCGTGCAGCCAAGCCCTCGACTCAGCAATTAAGTATTGGCCACCCCCCGCCGGGAGGTTGCGCTACACCAAAGAAAAGCACTAAATCCCCCACAGCCCAAATTGCCTCAACGCAGGCAGGGGCAACATCATGGCTGAACGCGTTAGTTGCTTTGTCGGCTCGCTATGCAACACCTAGATCTCCTTTGGGTTGTTTTGTAGCGTAGGTAGGGTTTACGGTTTAGGTGGTCCGCTATCTCACCTTGAGGCTGGTCGGGCTCAATATCTATCAGGGCTCCCGTCCGCTGGCAAACGTCCTTCAGGAATTCGTCCTGCAAGCATAATAGACCACCTAAATTTTCCAGCTGCAAACCCGTATGCCTAAACCGAAGCTACTCAGTAGCACCCACTTCCTGGGAAGCGGCTTGGAAACCCTAGGGAGCCCTATATATCCCCCAAAGCATCCCCCAAAGCGCCGTCAGCAAACACTTGGAGATCCGCACGGACCCTCAAGCCAACCAGCGGACATCATCGCCTTCCAGCCAACAAAGCGACCCCTTCATACCCCGGCAACACGAGAAGAGAGACAAACTCAAGCGCAATTTGGGGCGCAAGTGGTGCCGGGATACGCCTATACGCCGGCTTCCCCTCCCCCAGCGCTGTGCTTTTATCAAAAAGTGCAAGTTAATCAGAAGAGCCACAGGAGTCTCATACTTGGCTCCTTCGTGCTTGCCTTACATTTTCTCCTGCCATGGCTGTCGCGCAGTCGAACGTCTCGTCATCTGCTGCGTCTGCGGGGGCTGGGAGGTACTGAGGGGGTCCCAAGCAGCTCCCTGAGATAAGATGCAACAAAACATGGGGCACGTGGTCTAGGGTTTAGGGCTAAGGCGGGCCTAACGCTTGGCAGGTTATGGTTCGATGCCACTCGAAAATGAACATGAACCTCACATGCAGCAACAGCTCCTCTGAACACGGTCTCCTGATCTTCCCCCACGACTCTAACATACACCCCTTGAGGCGTCTGCTGCTGTTGCTGCGGTTGCTGCTGCTGCAGCGCGGAACCACGGAGGACAAAGCCTGCCCCTGTGCGGCGCCTCAAAGACGCGATGACTTCTATGTGCTGCAGCTGCTGCCACGCGTCTGGGCTCGCTGCAGTAACCCCACAAACCCCAGCCTGCAACGGCAGGTCCAAGATCCAAACTCCATTTTCCAGCTGTCTCTGCAACACAGCAGCAGCACCGGCAAACCACGGGCGCGTGCATCAGCAGCAGCAATGGCAGAAAACCGCGCACTCCCCAATGGCTCGATGGCTGCTGCAAGACAGCAACGATGTGTGGGCGTGAGGTCCTTCAAGCATCAGGTAAGGGCAGGTCTGTCCTACTGCCGTCTTTTTGATATCTGCTCCCAGCAGGTCGGGATCCCTCAGATCTGGTTTGGGAATAGCCGCGCAGACGGTGGCCATCGCCCGCACTGCTGCCTTGCGGGCTCGCTGCTGCATCAGCTGTAGATACACCCACAGCAAAAAACCAGCTGCGGGGTAACAGTAGGCCCTATAAACAGTGCGCGCCACTACTATTTCTACAGCTGCTGTTCCTGCTGATGTGGTCGCCCTGTACCTGTTTCTGCTGCGCTGCAATGGCTGCTGCAGCGTCAACCGAATTCCATGACCCTTCGCTTCTTCCTGGGACCGGCAGGATATGTGGTGGTTGTTTGTCTGCTGCTCCGTGAGCACCTCCCTGATCGTAGGAAGAGGCACCCCTGGGGGAGACATGGTGAAGCCCCCCTCTGTTTCCAGGTGGAGGCCCCTGGGAGAAGCCTGACTCGTGGGGCCCCCCGTAGTCAAAGTTGGAAGGACCCCTGGGCGAGATGTGGCTGCCCCTGGAGGCAGAGGCAGATGGGGGTCTGTGGGAAAATCCTGATCCTGTGCTAGAGGTGGACGGCGGAGGCCCCATGGGCGCCGGCGGCACCGAAGGTGTGGAGAGGCCACCTTTTGAACGCGCGAGAGAGGCGGCGATGGCCTGGGCCCGCTGGATGGATTCGGCTATGGAGGGATCGGGGGCCGGCGAAGATCCGCCGACCCCTGCACCAGAACCTGACATTCCTAAGCTTCAGACCCTAAATCGTGAACCCCAGTCCCCACCTCCTGCCCTCAACCCAAACTTAGCCTTTGTCAACCGTGGACCCCTAGCACCAAGGTCTTGGTCGCTGCCCTGGGACGAAATATCGGGAAACAGCTAATATGCAATGCTAAAGAAGCACCAAGATCGTGACAATCCATGGAAAATGTGAAGTAGAACCTAAAACCCTAATCCCTTGTGAGGCGGTCGTTGCATCCGGTAGTCGCGCATGCGCGCAGACCCCTCCGAGTTGACCGGCGCTTCAGTCAACAAAAAAAGAAAGAAATTGCAATTCGACTTTGTGTTAAACCGCGAGCCAGTAAATTTTGTGAGCCTTGGGCTTCAGTATCGGCTCTCGTCGAGCCCCGAGTTGCATGCAATCTCAGCCAGTACCACAGCAGACGCCCAAGCGCAGCAATCCGAGCGTTAGGCACGTCACGTGGCATACATGCCTTAAGAAAACATATTGCAACTTAGTCAATATGATAACATACCCGTCCCATACTCTATGGTGACCCTGTACACCGTGGAGAACAGGGGTGGGAGCTAATGAAAGTAGGGTGCATTGCATGAAGTTACTGCAAGGCAAAGTGCCCTGAGGGCCCCCTCTAGTTTGTGCGCCTAGTCTTCTAAGGGCATCTGAATGGGAATTATTAGAATCACACACCTTTCTGCGCGTACTCTGAGTAGGATGTGAGACGCTCACATTCATATTGATGTATAAGTTTGCTTTGCCCTGCAATTAGGTTCTCTAACCGGCCGTCCGACACACCTGAGGCCAATCTGAAGGAAAACGCTCTTCTAATCAGAACATATGTAACCATTTATGTTTGAATGCATGCTTATGGCTAAGGCGGTTTCGGTGTGTGGTTCATGCCCTCCAGCCGGTAGGACCGTCTCGTCTACATGTTTATCTTCGGGACTGCTCGCGCTCCATACATATTATCACAGGAAAAACAGGTGTCTGGAAGCGTCGACCTTGCTGGTGTCTAACGCTGTATAAAGGTGCCCTTCAGGCGCATGCAGCCCCGAGCTCCTGCCCCCCTTAGATCGCGGGGATGGCTGTAGGGAAGGGTGTGAGCGCAGGAGACGCCTCAGGGGACAGCTCTAGTGCGGAGTGGGGGGTTGAGAGTTGGAGGGTCTCGGGGCTGCTGTGCTTGTATTCAGTGGCTAGAGGGGGCCCTTCGTGTCTCCCTCGCTTGAACCTATATGCTGATGGGCCCCCAACCCGGGGGCCCCTCCCGGACCCGTGAATGGCCCCTGCCTTAGCCCGGTGCAGCCACTCCAGGGCAAGTTGCTGGGCCCTCTCTTTCCCGAACTTTTTGGACTGGAACACCTTATATCTCGCTTGTGGCTCTTCCATCCAGAAGACTCTGAGGAGCGCCCACACACACGCATACAAGCCTGAGTAGCGATGCATCTGACTGCAGCACAAAGCCAAACAAAGATAAACACAGGTGCTGACGAGGGCCAGCCTAGTGAGGAGCCGGCGGCCTTGAGTGCGTCGTTTGGCCTATTTCACAAGTGCGCTCCTACTGCGCTTAACTAACGCTGTTACTCCAAGAAACGCCAGAAACATAGTCTGTGAATATGCCCGAGTGCTAAGGCTAGTTGTGGAGTTTAAAGCATAGGCGTTAGGCTGTCTCTTGAGTCTGGGACATGCATGTACCTCCATTCTCTGCTTTCTCCATCGTATTGCAGCACGGGTTCCACGGGTCGACGAGGCCCCGCGGCAGCAATGGCTGCCAGCATCTCAGGTGGCAGAGGAAGGGGCTTCCTAAATCCTTTTCTGGTCCTCACGGGTACAGCAGCGATTTCCATCACTGTCTGATGACCACCGTTTCCGCTGCTGCAAACCGCATCTCTTGTTTCTTCTCTCCCTCCGTCTCTCCAGCGACTGCCGGCGCAGCCCGGCGTGCCCTCAGGGCCCCCAGTGAACTTCCCAGTCCGGTCTGCTTCTCGGATATCTGCCCAGGTGGCTCCTTGCCCTGTTACAGGTCCGCCTGCGGTCGAGGAGAGGGGTTGGTGTGCGTTGGGCCTTAGGCAAAAGGGGGTTCCAGTGGTCCTTTTACTGGAAGAATAGAGCAAGCTGTTCCCGCAGTCTCTGGCGCTTCGGAATCCTTCTGCCAATTTGTTTCTGTCCCGTACTCCTCCGTCTCGTTTACGTCTCCCATCCCGAGTGTACGGCTTTCCGGTCTCCAGTGCCTTGCCACCGCAGAAACGAGCGCTGCAGCTTGGCAAAGGAAGGAGCGGCCTCCCACCGCCACCCTCCGCTCCGCTCTCCCCCGCCTCATCTTCAGAGGACGCAAGCCACTGTACCCCAGAGCATACAAACGCGTCCGCACACAAAGCCGTCCGTGGGTAGCGACTCACGTTTTGAGAGGACCCCTTTGGGGGCCCCTCAAACCCTAACAGAGGTGCAAACAGCCCAAGGCATGATCGGCCTTCTTCCTTCTCCTCGCTGGAAAAGTTCCCCATTCCGTACCCGCGCTTCTTCACCAGTGTGGGATTCCATGGCCTCACTTCGCTGCTGCAGCTGCTAGTATCCGTGCCGTCGCATTCGGTCCTCTGGGGGACCGCCCACTGCTGTGCGGGACTCCCCCAATCACTTATTGGAGAGCACGACTCAGGGAGGGGAGGCGCGCAGACGGCATCACCAGAGGACAAGGCAGAGCCGTTTCCAGGTACCAATCGGCCCAATGAGGTACATGCGGAACTGTCCCCTCCAGCGGATGACAGGATGGTTGGCATTGGCAGCAAGGAGTCTCCAGTAGGAGACCAGAGGCCCGCCTCTCCCGATCTCTGAGCAGCACGAAGGGCCCCGTAGCGGTCCTGAAGGAGACAATACAGCAAAGATACCGAAACACCCCCAAGTAATCAAGGGCAAGACGAAACGACTGCGAAAGCTCTCAGCTAGCAGAACTGGAGGCCCCTTCGCCCCTATCCCCAAGAAATACAGGAGACAACTGCAACATCCTATAGCTGAACGGGATTCAGCCCTCAAGCTTGTTGGGCCTTTGTTGTAAAAGCGCTTGCATTTCTTTGCTTACGCCGGCAATCTTCTTCTGCGGGGCCACTTGTGTCGGGCCCTCCCCTCCCGAAGGCGCCGTGGCCGCTGCTCGCTGCAACAGCAGCTCGAGCTCCTGCTGCGGGTTCACGAGGTGGTTGTCAACCGTGCAGGTGCCCCCAAAGCCCCAGCGGACAGAGTCCTGAAGGGCCCCACACAGGCAGGGAGGCCCCCAACAGAGACCTGCCAGAAGATGCTCGAGACAATAACAAAAGCGAGGCTCACACGACGGGGCACTTTGTTCGCACACTGCAGAAGAGGAGCCCCCGCTTGGGCTCGAAAACGATGCCTCACTAGGACGAGTTGCTGCTACTTCTGTTGGGGTGTGTGCTGATGGTGTTGCTAGTATTTTTGCTGTTGCGTTTGTCGGGGTTGCTGCTGTTGTTGGTGTTGTTGCTGCTGCGGGGGACGCTGCGTTTGCTGCTATTGGTGTTGCTCCTGCTATTGACGTTGCAGTTGTTTCTGTTGCCCCTTCTGTATGGGTCACCGGTGCTGCCGTTGGTGTTGCAGCTGCTGCCGTTGGCGTTGTTGCTGCTGTGGTTGGTGTTGCTGCTGCTGCAGGTGTCGTGGGCGCTGCTGTCGGCGTTGTTACTGCAGCTGTTGGTGTCGCTGCAGCTGCTGGCGACAACGGTTCTGCAACTGCCGATGTAGCTTCTGATGAAGCCGGCTCTGCTGCGGCTGGACTGTTGCTGCTGCTGTAGGCCACGGGGAGTTGCTGAAGGGGCTGCCTGACGAGTTGATCGATGCCCGAGCAGTCGCCGTGGCTGTTGGTGTTGTATGTCATCGGAGTGCTGCTACGGACCTCTTTTACCGACGCCAGCAGAAGCAGCGGCTGCTGCTGAGAATTGGTTGCAGCAGCCTTTCCAATCTCAGAATCCGGTGCCTCTTGTGGACTGTCAAATCTGGTTTCAGCACGCAACCCCTTTGGCCCTCGCGCATCCTGCCAGCTGCGGCCGAGGGCCCCCAGAGGTGCCCCGCTCAAGGGGGCCCCTTTAGGCTCTGCCTCCTGGGTCCTGGGGTTCGGGTCTGCGGCCCCCACAAGCAGACATCTCGGTGTCCGGTCTTGGCGCTGCTCCTGGGAAGTGGATTCAGGCGTATGTGGGTCGGCAGCACTACAGCAACGGCCGTTGTTGCTGCCGTTTGAGCTCTTGGTGAAGTCTCCCAGAACAGCCCTTCTGAGGAAAAGATTCATACGACCGCGCCACTTGTACTCCCCGCGGCTGGGGCTGCTTCCTTTACAACTGTTGGTGCAGTTGCTCTTGCAGTTGTCGCCGTTGTTGCTGTTGTTACTGCTCTTAACCGCCTCGGTGGAAGTGTAGGCAAGAGAAGGCTGCCGTTCTTCTGGCCTGCTAGAGGTACTGCAGACTGTGCTGCAGTCCATGTCCTTGGCTAAGTTGCAACAGCAGCAGCTACTGCTGCCGCCTTGTTCAACTCCCCACCATTTGAAGTCTCCCCTGCAACTACAAATGGGGCTACAGCACGTGTTACAGCTGCTGTTACAGCGGTTGTTTGCGCTCGCCTCATACCGGTTTGCGCAGGGGTCCAGACAACAGTAGCAAGCACGATGCCGTGCGGAGGCGGGGCTCTCTATGAGTCCGCCTGTGGAGGCCCAGTTCTCTGCAGGCTCATCTGCCCCAGATGGGCTGCTGCTGCTACTGCAACTGCTGCTGCAGCAGGTCACACCGATGGCGGGCAGCGTGAGCAGCTCCGAAGCCGTCGCAGTTCCCCCCTGCTGCTGCAGCACACCCAGCTTCCTCCCTCCTAGAGGCCCACTGGCCCCCACAGTGCTCAGGGCGATGCTTCCCCCCTTGGAGTGCATGGATACAATTGCCTTACCCCTGGGGTTCCCTTTATTGTTGCAGCTGGCCTCCCCCCTTGGTGGTGTCAGGCTTGACTGGTGTGCGTAGCTTTGGAACTGCAAAGTATGTTGGGTGTCTTTTCCCGACCTTTTATTCGCTGTCATCAATATTTTCTGCCAATGTATTTCGAGCCAAACTCTCTGCTAATGCTGCTACCGGTGTTGCTGCTGCAGCTGCGGAGGGGGAGCCGGCGATGGCGGGTGTGCGTGATAGTGAGGACCGAGGTCACTGGCCATCTGCAGCGGCAGCAAGACACCGGCATTTGCCGCATATAAGCCAACAGATGACTCAAATGGTAAGGAAAAGTCAGCTGGAGTCTATACACGAAAAAAATGCAACGGCGGCAGACACACCTGCCGCTGGGGATCGGGGGGATTGGGGATCGGGTGGGTAGCCAGCCGGCCGCAAAAGTGTGTGCTGTCTGACCTTCTCTGGCTGATTACTGAATTTATATTTGTTATTAATGGGAGTCTGAGCGGCATTTGAGGGATTCAGCGACTCTTCAGGCAGGCAGCTTGTCCGCGAGACAGGCGCCCGTCTGACCCGTGCAGGGGGGGGGTAGCTGAAAAGGGCCTAGGGTGCCGCTCATTGGCCGCTATAAAGACCTCAATCAAATAAATGCAGACATATTCATTAATTTTTAAAATAACCCAAAAGAAAGCGGGGCAAGTGGACCCGAAAGAGCCACTGCAAGGGGCTGCACACCAGCCGGGGTTGGGGGTGGTTCCCTCCCGAGCGCTGCACGGCTGCAGCGCTGCTTGTGTCAAACCATGAGCAATAAATCAAGGCCTAAATTGCCCAACCCTCTCCATATCATCAGAGTGAAACCTGATAGGCCAATATTACTCATTTTCGGCGCACGCAGACACCATCGCCGCCGGTGATGTCGGCCGTTGCGTCACTCCACCCCCCAGCACGGGTCCCCTGTGCGAGTTTCTTTGCGCTTTTTCTCCGTTTTTACCATTTTAAAAAATACCTCCTGTGTGTATGGAATTGTCCAACAGGATTTTAACATAAAGATATGAGTCGAAAACTTGAAAGACACCGCAGTACGGGGCCGCCAGCGCGTCCTGCGCAGAATCGACGGCGTTGCCATACCGTATCTGTTTGTTTGTGTTTTATGCGTCGGTTAAGCAAATATATAAAAATCCAAATTTTGAGAAAATTGAATTCTACAAAAAAGTGTTAGCCCTAGTTTGACTCCCTAAGTCCCATGCCAGAGCTCCCTTGCATCCGCTGTAGCTGTAGCAGCACCTGGTCCCGTGCTGCAGTAGTAGCACAAGCGATATCGGTCGCAACAGCTACAACTAAGACAGATAACCAGAGTTATAGCTCTCCTCGAAATATCTTAAAAAGGTGAAAGACACGGTCCCACATAACTACTGCGTAATTCGCCACTGCACCGCTCTCTCTGCTGTCACTGTAGCGATCCCGTGGGGGCAAAGGAGGCTATTGCAGCTCGCGCTACAGCTTAAAATCGAGGTTATGCTACTCACGCTGGTGGTCCAGAAAATGCCACCAGCCCTGTAGCCACAGCACATGCTGCAGCCGCTGTTGTAGGTTGTGCTCTCCCTCCTATAACTTTTGCTGTAACTCGTGTTGCTGCTACTTCTGCAACTCCCCCCGCGCGTGGTGTTGCTCGGCTCGTCCTGCTTTCCTGCCTCATGCCCCATTCTATTTATGTAGGCCTTCAAGACCAAAACCTCTCAGATAAGGCCATCTGTCGGTTGAGAGTGATCGTGCTGCTCCCGCTCCCCGTTACCTCCTGCCGCAACGAGGAATAAAACAGCAGCAGTTCCAGAGTTTATTCTTGAATGCACTCCGGGTGTTCGGTACTGCTGCAGGGTCCAAGGCCTTTTGACGGGAAGAAAATGAATTGACAGTCCCCTCTGCACGCATTGCACAACGGCCAGTGTACGTACGTCACAACACTCGCCTCCCCTCAAGGATATCTTCAAGTGCGTCTCGGTCCACAAGCACCACTTCGAATTCACCGAGATTCCAGGGCTCACTGAGTTTGTGGGGGTCTTTGGTAGGCTCTTTCCGATGCAGCTGCCCGCTCCACGACTGCTGCTGCCGCTGCCAGACAGGAGCGTTCACCACTCGACCCAGTAGAGGCGCTGGGGGATGTCTTCTGTAGCAGCTGTAGCAACTCCAGGAGCAAGTCACTGACATGCACCCAATCATCCTGTTGCAGAAAGTCATCCAGCGTCACTAGGCGACAACAGCAGCATCCGTTGCTACTGCTTCTCCTGGATGTAGCACCTGCCGCCGGTGCTTCATCCTCAGCGCAGAAGCAACTATACAGCGTACGCCATATTTGAACGAGCTGCCGTTGTGGCTGATGCTTGCGCTGCTGCTGCGGCTCTTTTTGCTGTTGTGCGACCAGGTAGCGGAGGGGCCATAAAAACAACTCCAGCGCGAGTGGACGAAGAGAGGAAACTGCAACGGCTACCTGTAGCATCACTGGCCACAGGCAGATACCCCTGTTGCATACGCTGCAGGTGCTGCAGCTGCTGCTGCAGAAATGAACGGCGGTCGGCCTCGTGGCATAGTGAGCAAGCAACGCTCGCAGTAACTGCTGCAGCACCCCTACTGGGTCCTGATACTGCGCTGCAGTCCAGTAATTGTTAGCGCAGCTTCTCTGCAAGCTGCCACTTCGGCAGCAACAACTGATTCTGCCTAGGTGTTCATGCGAAACGACGAAGCGTGCCGCAGCAAGCGTCGCATTCTGCAGCACCATGGTGAAGTCCTGTTGCAAGTCGTGCAACTGTTGCAACTCGTGTCGCACGGGTTGTTGCACCTTTGGCTCAACAGCTGTAGCCGTTTCCGTTGGTGCTGCTGCTGCCATAGCTGATGCAAACGCGCTTATCAGGCTTCCACGCGTCTCTATGATGGCTAAGGCATGTTGCTGTCCAGCCTGCACGCATGCTGCTGTTGCAGCTACTGTTGCAGCTGCTGCTGTTGGTGATCTTTCCGCTTTCGTTGCTGTAGCCACTGCTGGTGTCACAGCTTCTGGGGCCGAGTGCGGAAAACAAGTTTCCCGCAGGGCTGGGCCGACAAGTCGTGTCCATGCAATACGCAAAAGTCGCACGGCAGCTCCAGAAGAAGCTGCCGCTGTATCTGTAGCGTCATTGGAAGCAGCAGTATCACTGGAGACAGCAGCAGAAGCAGCAGAAGTCGCAGTTGTGGGTAAGGCTGAAGCTGCCTTACGGTTTTCAAGGAAGCGTGCTAGAACCTTTAGAGCAGCAGTAGCGCTGGCTTCTACAGAGACGTAGGTCAAAAGCATTGCATCTGCACCGCGCCTTGCTCCAGTGGCAGCAGCAATCGGCCCCTTCTTTCTGCCGCTAAATGTTGTCTCGGAGTTTTGCACACCACCTGCGTCAAGACAAGCAGAAACATAGCGAGGGAAAGACATACACATGCTGCAAGGACATTATTGCCCCTGCTTCTGCATTTAGTGCGGCCACTACCGAGTCCCCTTACAGCTGTTGCTACCCTGCCTTCTATCACTGATGGGCGCCTGTAAGATTTGCTCCAGCAGTTGCAAAGCGACGGGTCGTTGAAGCTGCTGATGTTCCCTATGCACTGCAAAGAAGCGCGACAGGGCAACGTCTGCATCTGCTACTGCAGCAATAAAATCGGATAATTGCTCCTGCTGTTGCAGCGCCTGTCCTGCTGCTGCTGAATCTAGACAGAGCCTCACAACTGCTGCGGCACCGCGTGCAAAACATTGCTGCAGCTCCCCCGCAGCGACAGCAGTTTCCTCCGATATATTAGGTGTTGTTGCTGTCGCTGACAACTGTTGTATCTGCATGCACGTGCTCCTCGCTGCCTCCGTTAGGGCAACAAGGAGCTTGCTAAAACATCCGAATGTTGCCGCTGTGAGAGCTAAAGCGGGTGCTGTAGCTGGTGCTCGCCGCTCTGCCGTCTCTGCTGCTTCTCCTGCTGCCGGCGCCCGTGCACGGGTAAAGCACCCGCACGGATCCATAAGCCTCAGCAGCAAGTTAACCAACGTAGCAACAACTTCTTCTAGTGTTTCGGCCTGGCCAGCACAGTCTGCTGGTGCTGCTAGCCCAAGTCTGGGCAGCTGCACCAGCACGCAGACACAGCACAGCGGCGCTTCTATTGCAGATACAGCTGCCTCCACGATGCTCCAGCCAGTGCCGCTGCTCCTGCTGCTCCTACTGGTCTTGCTCCTTCCTGGCAATTCCCTTTGTAACAAAGGCAGCGAAAGATCAAACTGCTCTATGCAAGTTCGAATGGAAACACTCAGGAGCCGCATGAGCTGCTGCTCAAGAAGACGCAGCAGCTGCTGCTGCTGCAGGGTCAATACCATCTTCATACACCGTTGTCGGAACTGGTGCACAATTTGCAGCTCGTGCTGCGGCTGCCACGCTGGGTGCTGCTGCGCTCGAAGAATGGCTATGCGCAGGATATGAAGCGCTTCCGCTGCATGCAGCGAAAGAGAGAAGGGTGTTGCTGCTGTGCCTCGCAAGGTCTCGCCCTTCAACAACTGGTGCTCCAGACCAGGCAGCAGCAATAGCAGCAGCATCGGAAAAGCTGCTGCTGCAGTCTCGGCTGAAAATTCCCGGATGCGAGGCCCCACTGTTAACCCGGCGGTGGGTGAGCTTCCAGCAGTTACCGAGTGCTGCGTGTCCTGCTGTAGTATCAGCAGAAAGCAGCAAGCTACTGAAGAAGCTAATTCTGCTGCTGCCGCAGCTGCTGCGCTGCTTCCCTCTACTGCAGCCTTCGTAATAGAAGAGCACAGAGCAGCAGCGCCTGCCTCTTTGCTTGCTTCCATCCCTACTGCTGCTGCCCTTGCTGCTGTTGTTGCGCTGTCAGCTGTTGCAGCTGCCTCAGCATACGTAAACCACGCGGCTTGTGTGCTAGTTGCTTCTACCGCAGCTTCTTGTACAGCCGTCGAGAGCTCGTCTAGTGCTGCAGCAGCAAGGATGTCTGCTGCTGCTTCTCGCAGCTCAACGCAGGCGCCCAAATGAATAAGGGACAGATAAGCTACCTTAACCACAACTTTGCGCCGGCTTGTGCCGCCACTAGCTCGCCAGGCTCGTAGCAATAGGGCCAGCTGCAGCAACAACACCAATCGCTTCTGATGGTGCAGGGAATCAAAGTCCACCAGCAGCAAGTCTGGAGTTAGTCCTTTGCCCTCTTCTTGCTGCTGCTGCAATTGCTCCATCTGTTCCACCACAAAAGCCAGGTACTGTCTCAGGAACCCGCTGTCGCAACGGCAAGTGGCGCACGCCAGCTGCTGCTGCAGCAACTGCAGCAGCAACTGCAGCAGCAGCAAGTACAGCCGCTCATGCTGTTTCTGTTGCGCTCGGAAGTCCCTTAGCAGATGTAAAAGAAATGCGCAAAAGCTTCGGCAGCTGCTGACACTGCAGCAGCAAGTCGCGGCTGGGCCACTGTATCTCCCCTGCACCTGGTGCTCTTCCTGCTGTTCGTGTTGCAGAGCCTGCTCCAGGTCCTTCCGCTCCTGCTGCAGGTGATCGTTTTGCTGCTGATTATGCTGGTGTGGAGCGTGATCCCCTTTGTGGTGTCTGTGCAGCTCAACCGTGGCAGAAATTATGCGCCGCAGGATTTGCTGCGCTACCTCGGCTGGTAGTGACTGATGCAAGTGCGGCTCTGCGTTTTGCTGCTGCAGCAGGATAGGAGCAGCAGTAGCTCCAGAAGCAGCAAACGCCGAACCAACGCTACCGGGGAGCACCTTCCCTGCGGTTTCTGATGAATGTGCAGCGAGAGAGTTTGTTGATACTGCTTCATTGGCAGTACCTTCCCATTGACATGTTGCTCCTTTTAAAGCATGCGTTGCATCAGGAACCGCTGAATGATGATGTTGCAGCTGCTCAGGCAAGTCCTCCGCGGCGATCAAAGAATGCAGGAGCGCCGCGGTTTGCTGCCAATCGATGATATTACCTGGTCTCCTCTTGCTTCTGCTTCTGCTGTCACAGTTGCTATGCACGCTGCAAACTGGAACGACTGCATGCGCATGAAAGCATCCGCCAGTGTTGCTGCTGTTATTGCTGTTCCTGCAGCTATTGCTGTTGCTGCTCCTGCTGTTGCCTTGTATGCATTTTGAAGGATGCAAAAGCTCGTCATTCTGCCTCAAGTAGCCAATTTGTTGCTGACTCTGCTGGGCTTGTGCTGCATATTGATGGCCTCGCTGCAGCACGTGCACTGTTTGCTGCTGTTCTGCAGGCGCGGGCTGTTGCTGCCTTATCCAAGGCCCCTGCAGTAGCAAATTCTCGAACATCTTGGGCAGCAGCACTTCGTTATCTTCGTGCAGTGGTGCAGCGGCAGTAGTGACATTAGCAAAGGCCTGCCGCTCCAACAGCTCAAGTTCGAGTATCTCCCGCTGCTTCTGCTGCGCCTTCTCCTCTTCTATTCCTTCACCCTGCACGATCCTTGTGGCCGTTAGTTCGTTCTTGTCATCATCGCGCCCACTCACAGCAGAACCATCAGCAGTATAAATAGTAGCATTCGCAGCAGATGGAGATCCCGCCTCTTCTGGTAGGTTTCGTTGCTTGTAGTGCAGCTGAGGCAGCGCAGACGGCACAAATCCGCTGCCTTCAGGGAATGGGGAAAGCTTTTTCAGCAATTGCATTGCTCTGACCTGCAACGCAGCTGCTGGGGGGACTGATGCTGCAGCTCTCTGGGCTTCCACAGCTGCTTCGGCTGCTTGCGCCTCCGATGCTGGTACTCCCACTACAGCGTCCCTGGACGCATCATGCACCTGCCCCACTGGTTCTTCCCCATTCTTTCTCCCGTTCACCTTGCAGTTCCCGCTGCACTCGCCAGCGCTGTTGTGGCATTTGCAGTTGTCTCTATTCACGCCATTTGTATAGTTAGAGGTGTAACGACTACGCCTGATACCGCAGTCGCATATCTCCCCGTAGTCACCCTTGCGGCCGCACACACCTTCGCGGCCGCACAGTTGCGTACGCAAGCGCCTTCTCTGGGTGTCGTTAAGGTGATGCTGCGTCCTCTTCCACTGTTCATGCTGCTCCTCACTGTGATCAGGCTGCTGCTTCCGATGTTGCTGCTGCTGCAGCTTCTGCTTCTCCGGCTGATCACTCCCCCATCGTAGGAATTTCAGTTCACCTGAATGCTGCAGCTGTTTCAGCGCCCTTCTTACATAGGATGGTGCTAGATCTTGCACCTGGGCCTGATCTGTTTCCTGAGGGTAAAAACCCCCAGTAGCAGCCCAACATTCTGCGCAGGGCATACTACACTTCTTGAGTTGCGTGCCCTCCCTCTGGTTTGCCTCTCCCAGAGAAGCAGCAGCAACCACCGCGGCGAAAATGTAGCCAAGTCTTCCACAAGGTGGAGCAGAGGACAGAACATGTGTCCTTCGAAGCCGTTACGTTTTGCAGCTCGTCATGCTGCTCTTTTGCAGCTCTAGACCCAGCTGACCCAGCTGCACAGCTCCCTGCACCCTGTTTCGCTCTTAGACTTTTGAGGCATTTGGTACAAACTCGTAGAAAATAAGGAAAGGGGGAAACCACACCTAGGGAGCGGGTATATGACGGGTATACAGGCTCCCGCCGTGAGCAACAAGCAGAAGTCCGCTTGAACGAAACTTACCCAAGTTGTAGTGTCGTCTACAGCTGCGGTTGATCGCTCGAAATTCAAAATTGAGGGCTTAATTCAAAAGGTTCCAGTTCTTAACGGCTAAGAACAAGGACAATTAGGGACGATGGAGGGCCCCTGAGGGCCCCTGTCTCACACCTGGCGGCCGAGGGGGCAACGACGGAGCTCAATACTCACAGTCTGAGGAGTCTTCTGCAGGATCTGCTGCCATTATGAAGGAAAGCCTAAGGCCATTAGATAGCTCTTCTGCAGTGAATGGTGTTGACTGGAGATTCCAGCGAGGGAGCAGCTAACCACAACTACTTGTGCGTGGCCATACTGAGAGGTAGGTTAGAGGGGCTGGCGGTTTAGGACCAACATATGGAACGTTTCATAGAGGATTACAGTGCAATTAGTTATGTTCTGTTTGTTTTGGGGCAGCTAAGTAGACCACTGGAGTTCTACGGTGTCTGCACTGAACATCCGTCCTCTAGACGGGAATTGGGGTTCGATCTGCACCAACACACCGGGCACCATTCTTCCAACCGGCCGTTCTATAGCTAAAAACAATAGTGATATTCTAGATCCACAGAACGGGCGCAAATACGAGTGGGGGAGTGTGTGTAGGACACAACGATACTTAAAGAACCGCGAAAAACAGAACATCACGGGTGGTACTGCGGCCGCGGAGCATCGGGTTGCAAGACTACATTTATATGTGCCGGTAGGGGGCAGAAACATACCCCTCGAGTTGCATTACTTGCTCCACCGCAATGTCCGACACGGGGGAGGCGCCTGCGGAGGTGCGTGAGGCCAAGTTGAGAGCAGAGGAAGTAGATCATCACAGTATTTCAACCTTCTTAAAGTCTAAAAGACCCCCTTGGCGCTCTCCCCATATTTGTCCCCCTAGGAGTCGGCCCACCCTCGTCGTAATGATTATCTTTACGTACCCGCAATTCTGCACCGTAGTTTGGGGCCGAGGAGGCGTCGTTAATTGGGTCTCCGCTTCTGCCGGCTGAGTTGTGCAGGCAGGTCAGGAACCCGTGGAAGGAGGTGTTGATCCGCCAAATGACAAGGAGCGTAAGAAGCATCACTCAAAAAAGAGCAAACAGACGAGAGCCGAAGGGTCTCCAGCTACTGACCATACGAAACGGTCGAAAAAAAGTGCAAAGCAGGCGGAAAACGGGGAGCAAGGCTCCAATCCTTCCAAATCCGAAAACCATCCGCAAATCGAAACTTCAGAAAGGAAAAAAAAGAAAAAGAAAGCTGTAGTTGTTGCCACAGAAAATGCAGAAAACAACGAAGACCCAGCAGACCAGTCGCAAACTGCCGCCAGCAGCACGACTCGCAAATCCACTCTTCTCATGTGTGACAACGCAGCTGCAGTTGCCTTGGGTAATCTTTTGGCAATTCAGGTGAGGAGCTTTCACAAAGAAACGAACCAATTATCATTGGTGGATGTGCGGGAGAAAAGCGCATGGATTGCACCCATCTATCGTATAAGCAGATGATAGAGATTCTGTTCTAAAGCTGTCGCCTACTTTAGTTAAGGTACAAGTCTCTTATTATTATATGCCTAAGCAGTGCGCAGAAGTTCCTTGAACTGGAAAAGAGATAGTACGAGTTACGCCTTCCGGGCGGCCCTCTCACAGAACATCAGGCAGATCGACTGCAGGCAAAGCAGTGCATATTCTATGCCTGTCCAGCCAGTGACTACCTCGCCGTACGGAATTTGCTTCACCGTTGTCCCCTATACTCCAGCTGTTATTGGTTCTCCACTGCAGCGAGGGGCCTCAACCAAGTCTGAGGGACAAGAGGAGACCGATGAGGTTCAATGGCTTGAAGATATCGAAGACGAGGAACTTGACCAAATCCTAGGTAAAGCCAGCACAACACAGAAGTTAGTTCTCTACATTGACTCCTCCGGCCGTGCACAAACTATATGGCTCCTGCCTAAGACAATTAAATTTGCATTTTTCTCGAGCAGCCAAGGCAAAAGTTTCCGAACAGCGAGTAGCGGAGCTGAAGAACGCGATCTCCGAAACTGCATCAAATGCCCTTGACGGCTACTTCGATGAGCTCACAGTAGGTAGACGCCCATGGCTAGAATCAGGCGCCATCCAACGACTACCTCACATCGCCCTTCAAGAGCTAGACAGCGGATTGACTGTTCAAGCACGCGGATGAGGCATAGGATGCCCACTGAGCAGCTCTACGCGATTTGGGTAGCCAATCATTCACAGTGTTAAGGAGCAAGTCGGTTGAATGGCCTAAAACGATGAAAAGGCCAGACGTATGGTGGCTGTTTGGTTTCAGAAACTAACTCAAGACAAAGCCTTCATTGTTGGGACAGCAGACGAGGACAAAGTTATTGCAGTTGAGCAAAAAGAAGCCCAGGAAAACATAGAATCTTGTGTGGCTCAACAGAAGGAGCTACAGCAGCAACAACAGCGACTGTTGCTGTATGAGCAAGTCGTCCGCAAGAGGATTTTAGATGAGCTGGAGCGGAGGGAGGCAAAACTCAAAGTGCTTAAACGTCAGGCAGAGAAGCAGGACCTCAAAAGACAGGTGCCGTATCCTGGCATTTCCTGAAAGCAGGGGGGAACGGAAATTAAGATATCCTCTTCTCCTTGTGAAGGAATTAGATGCGCTCTCAGTATCGATATCTGCAATGCGCATATGCCAGATGCAGTCATATTAATAGACGGCCGTATCCCTATACCCCATGCTTCTCATAAGCTGTAGTTCCACCTCAGCACAGCAGGCACTTCACTGAGCACGCGTTTCGATATACAGTCTTTCGAACCTGTGGCAGCGTGCTTCCCTGCCCAGGACCATCTTGTCAAGTTGGTGCGGGAGTGTGAATGCCGAATGGAAGCTTTAATGGGGCGTCGTAAAGCTCGCTTGTCTTCTGTTTACGGTCTCTTGAAAAAAGAAGGGGAGTACACCGCCGTTTCGAGGAAAACGGAAGACGTCAAGTCCAACGAAAGAAACAACTTTATTCCTATGGGTACGCTTCAATGGTGCAGGCAATTCGGTCTAAATGAAAGGCAGATAGGACGCACAGAAGATGAGGCCTAAGCATATTCCGCTATGTTCCCTTTACATCAGTCGTGCATAGAACACACTCCAGAGCATAGGTTGCGGTGTAGTCTAATATTTCATGCGTTTCCCCGTCTGCTAAACCGTGGTCCAATATTACACTTTTTTGGAGGGGTAATGTTCGGTTGGGAATTTGGATCCTTAAGAGTTGCCAAGTCGTCTCCGTCAAATACAGGCAATTTAAAGTATTTTTTAGCTGCGCCTGAACCCGTCAATCCCAGTGTACTCGATCTTCAGGAAAATCGTACCGTGTCGAGTGGCTGCGGGCTCCTCAACCCCTGAAGATGCAGATAGATCTCTGCCGTGCCCTCAAGGACAAAGTTCCAGATGGAAGATACGTCATTTCTGTCTCCATATGGACGCGCATCGGTGGGCTCGATTAAAGTCTTCTAGCACTGACAGTGGGAGCCGTACGTAGAGGGTCGTTTTTTAGCCTTCCACGCATGGGGTTTGCGAACTTTTTCCATGAATAGGAGGCACGCGTCTCCGGTGGAACGGGTTACCATCTATCGAAGAAAAGCTTTTGCAGGACGCGGCCTCGAGGAAACAAAGTAAAGTGTCCCTCACAGCGGTATCCGTTCCTGACAAAGAATATGCAGAAAATGAAGGCTTTGCGGGAGCAGCCGTCACGCAGCCTGTGGAGTTCAGAGCAAGCTTCAGAAGCGAATGCCTGAGGTAGGGGACATGCCTCCTGATAATCAACCAAAAACGCGTACTTGGAGAGAACCTTGCTTCCACCCCTAGGTTCAACAAGGTTTTCTCCACCATCTGCTGCTCTGTAGAGCTTTCAAAGATGCTCTATTTAAGATGTATTATTACTTTCACACTCAGAATTTGCTTACCAAGCCTGGCCTGTACTTCAGATTCGATCAGACTCTTGAGCTGGCCTGCCCCTCGGAGACAGACGTGGAGCCTGATATGTGCTTAGTATTCGAGCTGTTTCTGCTTCGAGGCCAGCAATCTCCAATTGATAAGGCAAAACGACTAATGCCAAATGCCCCGAACTGATGCTTCCAGTTATCCAGTGTGCTGACTATGCGAGTCCACATCCTAAACCAGAAAGTCGCCTAACTGCAAGGTGTGCTAGTTGAGTGCACGGCTCGCGTCGCAGGTTGTGGGTTGGGGAGCATTTCCACTGGTAGACTCTGATTTTCGGTTGATCGAGGGAAGCTTCAAGGTACAAATTAAGCATCCCCATTTCGTTGATCCCTAGCACAGCCTAAGGGGAAGCTCAAATGGAACGCAATTGTTCACTCGCTGCAGCCCCACATCGTAGTGAATGCCTGATCACATTCCGGTTGAGACGTGGGCACGTTAATAAACCACGATCCCCAAAGGCATACAACTTGACGTTGTCATGTTCAGCGCGCAGAACATTACAACGTTAAGTCCTATGCCTCCTCTATACGAACACTGCTAGGGTTGCAGGACGTCTGGTTTTTAGATCTAGGAGGCAATACATACGGCTGATTCCCTTCAGGTTCCACTATTGCGTGGATCGGTTGACCCGTCGATTCGTCGCTATCTAGACCTCGAAAACCTCATCAGTAATAACCTCGATTCGTGGCTATGCAACCTGTATTTCCGCTGCGAGCGACTCCCCCAGTACACGAGGGGCCAGGTTGAATTCGAGCTACAGCTGGAGCATGCAGCAGCTTTACTTGGAGGGAGGAGGAAAGAAACTGCAAGCACGAAGTCGCAACAACACCATCGTCTTTGGGAAGCATCTCTCGAGCGCGCCAAGGGTCTGCATCGCATTTACATCTGACGCATGAATCGTCAGGCATAAGCAAAAGTGCATTCTTCAGAATTCCTGAATATCACAAGGTCTGCCCAATTCGAAGTGCTTTGCCACAGAGTGAGCACGTAATTTGCATTTGCCGGCTGCTCAGCGGAGGATCTCGTTCGACAACTTGTCAGCGCACTTCAGGCTTGCGAAGAAATGGCTGGACGTAAGTAATCTGTGCAGGCCAGTGTATTCAGGCATCAGAAACAAAGACAGCACTTCAGCCTTCAACAAACAACAGTGATCATCTCCACACATGTTTCACATGCCTAGCTAATTTTTCATTGCATTTCCATGCAAATGAGTTCTACAGATTCTTCAACAATTGTATCTAAGGACGGTGTGCGCGCTTGGCGGCATAAAGAGGAGCCTTCAGATTTGCATTCCACTCCGGATGTAAACGCTCTTCAAGACTACGGCTACTCAGGTCTTCCGTCTTCCTAGCGTCGAATTGCATAGCTCCATTTACACTGATTCGAGACGCATCTTCACACTAGACAACTGGGTTCGCTACTGTGCTTACTGGACAAAACCTTGCCTCCTTCGTCCCGAGCTTCACTTCACGTTATGTTGTGCTGTACGCGTGAAGTCTACTGCGGCACCACCTTGTCCCACCCAAGTGAGGCCTCTCGAAAGCTGAAGTACTTGAAGAGCTCGCTGTTGGACGACTTTCGGCTATCTTTCAACAAGACAGAAATGGGTAATGTACTGTTGCATTGAAAAACGCGTGTTGGTCACTCCACGTTCCCTGCAGAAACGAGCATTTAGCGATCTTGAACGGAACGAGGCCGTAGTGGCTGCGAAAGTTAGTTCCCCTCTCCGCCGTCAGTTATACGGCCACATAAGCATGCTGTCTCTATACTGTTGTGTATTTAAATACATTCACCAGTGGAGGTGCCAGGAGGACCTGAGAACTCATTTTACCAGGCCTTGGCATTTATGTGCATCTCTTTTCCCCAGGCAAGGCAGCAAGCGCCATAATTTGCGCCATTCTTGCAGTTTGGTGCTGCAGTCTTATCTTCATGCTAGGAGTGTGGCTGTACCTGCGTTCTGCTAAAGTTCCAGTGCATAATGTTGAGTTCAGTGCCTTCTACGTCCAACTGGATTTCGTGCAGGTGCGTGCCCACATGGGGAACTCCGTCACAAACAAAGTGCCATTCGTGACCCCCTTGGAGCCTCTTTTTGTTTTTTTTTATGTTGCTGCGCAGGAATTACTCTCTCTAGGTCAGACTATCGGTGCCACAGTGGCGGGACCCCTAGCGTGCCTTGTTGCCTTTGTTCTCGCCTCGGTGACGGTGCATGCTGCCAATATCATGCTGGGGAGACAGCCAACTCCAGGTACTGTTGAGAGCTTTCGGTGACAGATTACTCATGGAACCTTAAAACAATGTGTTCATATATAGGACAGCACTGTACTGCTGGCTGTGGCTTCTTCTTTGCTGCAGTTTATCAGTTTTGCAGTGCTCTGGGCGCCGCAACTGCTCTTAATCCTGTCCTGATGGCCGCTATTGAAGGAATAAGCTCAAATATGACTGGCGTCTCCTTTATGCTTTTTAACCACTACATCAGGGATGTTAACAATGCCACACTTGGAGTCATCATTGCCCTCCTCATTGACCTGGCGTTCATCGGGTGTAGTATATTAGTACGTACTCTCTGACTCCCAGGCTCTAAGCAATCCAATTACTGACAGGGGCCATGGCCATTCTCGTGGCTGGCAGGCTCTCTCAAGAGCCACCGCCTTGTGGTTTCCTCCATGTGCAGGTCTACTACAGCTATGCAATTGCGGTTCATCGCCACGGGCAGGTGAAGGACACACACAGGAGACTTACAGGGAATGCATCACTGTTTCACTTGCCACTGGATACTGAGGTCTCGGAAAGGTACTTGATGGGGTGCTTAGAAAGTGCCAGGCAGTACAGAGGGCCTGAAGGCGAAGTTAGAAAGATCCATGCAACAGAGCATCCAAGTCCGTTGAACTCACGCACCTTTACAAATAGTAAACTTTCACAGTTTCCTTCGAGCCCCCCGCTTGGCTCTCCGAAGTTCTGCAAGGCAAACAATACTCCATCACGTCTTTCTGAAGTCTTTTGATTTTATCGTGTCAGTTACGGAGCCGGATCAAGACTCAAAGGGATTTAATGCACGGAAACGGTGTTGTCGATTGGGAAGCCGGCGTCGAGCGGACTTTCAAGTGACTCAGCTGGCGATATATACCGTGAATTCGAGGGCCGGTACACAGACATTGTACAGGCGGTTTTTGATGTAAGTCAGCTCTTATTTTCCTCTGAAATATAGAGGTCACAAGATTTTGCAGCCTACTCCTACAATAGGAAGCATTAGTCTATTAATGCGCACTCAATGCCTGATGCTTGATATGGTCGAAGGCACCCTGATGGCACCATTCTGGAGGTCCTGCCGAACTTTCCAGAAGGAAAATACCCGTCAGAGGGAACAGATGATCATGTGCAACCTTCAACCGATCCAAACGACACGATTATTCATCCAGATCCGGGAGACCATACCGCATGATGTGCTTTATTGTTGGCACATTATGGATACATCTCCTAGGGGGGACAGTTTTCCTAACAGAACAAAGCCGCTGCCAGCAAAACCTAGCTGGACGTAGTCCCATTCTAAATGAAACTCTTGGAGTTCCTCCATTTTGCGACAATTTCCTCCAAAGGCCAGTGGTTTTTGCCTAACTAACACCAACGATATGGCGCAGAACACCTCTGTGGTGGGAATGTGATGTATACTAGTAGCAGTTCTTTTCCAAACAGAAAGGCTTACTGATCTCTTTTTTCGGCTCTCGAGGCTCGCATCACTTATTCAATCGCTGTGAAGCCCTCCGTGTCAGCCTCAGAGGGGCCTGCAGCACTACTGCAGAGCTCCAACGAATCAATTATTACTAATACTCTTGTTTTCGAGGTACTGGATCCGAGTTGGTCTAGGAGCAATGCTTGATACGGACAAATATTTCTGACACAATGGCGAGCGACAGAGACGTTGCACAGAATATCAATACTAGCTCACTAGTGATTGGTTCGGAGAAAGTGCGCAGGACGCCTCCGGGTTGGTTGAAGTGCACAAAAGGCCTTAAAGCATACTAATTACTGCTCGCTGTGTGTATAGTACAACTTCTTCGCATCTAGCATCAGCACACAGGCTGAGGGTAACTGTAACAGATCAACCGCCCAATGCCGCTCACTGAGTCCGGCTGGAATCGTACAAACCCCTTATCGTGCTGTGAATCAGGGGATTGACTGTGAATCGTTGGCGCTACCCCGTAACTGCTAACGGCTAACGGGACCAGCCTCTCTTGAATAGCCGTTGGGTAGCGCGCTGGGCCTTGGGGTCTTTCAGTTACATGTTTTCATTCTCTTGTCATGGTAGAAAACATCCTGGCCGGAAGGTATTGGGTGCGTTGGCACTGTTCTGACAGCCAGCGTACACGTTCCTCAAAAGCAGAAAGTAGTACTCCTCCTAACTGCTCCGGGACGAACATCTTGAACTCGATGCTCTCCTCAGTACCATAGGAGCGCCTGGATGGCATAACTTGGTTCACAACGTCCAGCTGCGCTAACGTAGTGGTGGTAGTTCATGCAAGTAGCATGCATTTCGGCGAGCCGCAGGATGTAATATATATATATATATATATATATATATATATATATATATATATATATATATATATAGGCTTTGATTAAAGAAGGGCTCCCAACATTCTGAAAGAAGAAAAACCCCTCACGTGTAGGCAAGTTCGGATTGTCCCCGTTGAATCAGTAAAGATCAAACCGAGCAAGCTACCTTTGAGGGCAAGCAACGTGTTGGGTTCCACCGGAGAAGGCCAAAACTGAAAAACGAATCGTCTAAAGGCGTGAAACGCGCCTATACAAGAATTGCCTTATTCTGTGTCAGTTTCCCACAGAAAGGGCAGTGAACATTCGAGGGGAGAAAATCAGTCGCGTGCTTGCTTCGGAGACACAACGACGGCCACCCGAGTGCAATCTTGTGATGAAACCCTACTAAAAGATGTGCATTTCTTTGGATGCATTTAGTGGCTGCTCGTAGACACCGGTGCAGTCGCTACCACTACATAGGGGCCGTTGCATTATTTCCTACCAGAGCCATGTTGAGCTCGATTCCTTTTGGAATCAGTTTAAAGTGGCGATATGATCTAGGACTTGGATCATATACTTGGGTGCGCGCTCTAACACCGCTCAGGGAGTGCTTCGCTTTGCGCCCGCAACTCACAAGTCTGGTTGGTCCCAGTATTTAACAAGATTCAGGTGCTTTAACATATCCTGCTGCACGTTATCGGGGAGGACGCGTTTGTCTCCGCAGATGGGGGCGAACCGGATATAGCGTAGCATGGCGAAGTTCATCATTTGAGCAGCACAGTTGAACGTGCAGAGGAAAACCATCGCCAAGTCATGAAAGAGGTTGTAGCCCTTTTTTATGCTGCCGTAGAAGCGCGACTGAGCTTGCGTAATCCAAATTGACGTTACCTCAACAATGTCCATTGAGAACATGAACAACACCCTGAAGCGGCCCATGGTGTCCCGGAAGAGGCCGTGCTGCAAACGCATACGCAAGTGCGGAAACCGTGTCTGTGTTCGCATATTATTGGGGGGCGAGTAGCATATTTGGCGTAGTTCCTGCGGTTCTTCACGGAGTGCTACAAAAGTTACGCTTGAGTTAGTGTTTCACGGGTAACATAGAACGGTACTGCCATCCGGGTGGGTGCACCAACAGAACTTGTGGCCATTCTGATTTGATAGGTTCTGACCTCTTGGTACGAGGGTAGGAGACCAACAGTCGAGTTTTCAGTAAAGAGTTCAGTTATAACGAAGACTGTTGAAGACACGAGTTTTTGAAGGATTCTTGGCCAACAGCGGTTGAAGACGAGGGACTGGATTTCCCGGACGACTTTTGAAAGCCACACTGCATTGATGCGGCGAAACACCGACTCGCCTGAAGGCCGGTGAGGTTCTTCAGCCCCTGTCATCATCTGGGAACCGCTTCGAATTCTGGGGGTCTTTGGTTTCGGTGGCACATGGCGAATTATACAACACTCGTTCGCGAAGCGATACCGTACCTCAAGCCCATCAAATTTTGCGTTTTCTTTCTGCCTGTTCTGTTCCTCGTTCTTTGAAACAGTCATTTTCTTCTTCCAGTGCTCCACTGGGTGCGTATACCGGCTAAAGTCCTTTGCTTTCCAGTGTCGCCAGTCACGACGCAAATTTAGAACCAAATGGGTCCACATGTCGCTAAAGAGACTCCCCACAAAGCCCTTTGTATTTTTTCCCTTTTGTACAGCGACTGTCGAAATTGCACTCGCCCAATCGGAAGCTGTGGGTTTACGTGCGTTAACTAGTCTGATTGTCTTACGAAGCGATACGTTCTCTTCACGAGACACCGAAGAAGGTTCCTCATAAACAGAGTGGCTGTAGTTTTGTCTCCTCTCGTTCATTCCAAACATTATCTCTGTCCGCCAGACAGTTGTTGCCAAAAATGTAGTCATGAAGAAAGGTCTGACAATAAAGAGCTCGAAAAACTTGAAAAGGAAATGTTTTGTTCGGTTCCAGGCAGTGGGCTCTTCAGTGGTAGCGCCTTCAATGACCAATAACACTCTTCTCTCCGTATAAGCGTATCCAAAGTGAAAGTACGAGAACGCAAAATCCTTAAAAACCATCAGCAGATAAAGATATATACTAGATGCCTTCATCAGGACCGTCCGGATAAGCAAGTATCTCCACGCGTCCCAGACAATTGCGAAGCAGCAAAGAATTTTGTCGAACTCAAGTGGGTCAGGTCCATCCGGGCGTATTGGGACATGCGGCTGGCTGGGGGGAATGTAGTCAACTGAGGCCACAATGGGGGCAAGGATCCTGCTCTGGCGAGCTGCAGTACTAAATGTCGAATTTTTTGATCCTAGTCGCGAACCTCGGCTTCTTTGCTCAAAAGTGCGGCCCCCTCGTCGCGGGATTGCACTTCCGTTTCTCTCTTTGTGGTTGCGCTGAACCGTTTCTCCTCCGCCACTGAGGTTGTCCTCCATAGACGTGCACTTACGTTGGCTTTCAGACTGCCGCTGCACATTGCTAGGAGGTTTTTGATTTCCAGCCTTCCCGAGTCCTAGTCCAACTGCAAGGTCTTCTGAATTCTGCTTTACAATGTCACTGTTTGAAAGCCCCTCTAGCTCTAGAAGGACTCGAACGCCCTCTTCGCTGTCTTGTTGCAATAACTCTTCACTCTCATCTTCCTCTCCAGAGGGTAATTCCTGGCCTGTTTGGTACGAGACGTTGTAGCCAAATTCTACCAGGACATTCGTGGCCTTGTGCGTTGCGGGCAAGAAGATGGAACCGTAGAAATTTGCAAGGGCTAATTCTCCAATGAAAGAGATTATTGCAGCAAGCTGCAGCTGAGCAAATTTATGCTGCATTGTTTCGAAGAATGGCAGAAATACAGTTCGGTTGAATACGTCCACCCCGAAGAATACGATTCCAGGCAGATGGAAAATCAATGCACGCCTATACTGGTCCCTCGTTTTCGCGAGGTACAGACCCAGAGGAATCAGCAGTATCGAGCCGAAGATGAAGGCAGCGTACAAAGGCCAAGTGAAGTGGTTGAAGAATGGTAAGAGTGCGCGGACTTTTGGAAAGGTTTGAACGTGATAAACGGCAGCATTAGACAGAAACTCAATAACGAAGTAACCGGCGTATCCGGACATTTCCCTCCAAAAGCCTACATTTCGACCGCCAAGCGTCCAGACTTTCACGTATAGCACATAAGTTACATGCAGCGCGAATTCATTGACTAAGTACATGTAGCATATGTTTTCAACCCTAGCGTAGGCAAGGGGTGGGTCAATGCAGTTCGGATCTACTTTCTCACCACTAGCGTCAAGCGCACAAGGGGGAGGAGGCTGATAGTCTGGTATTGGTTGGCCAAGGTCATCCAAGGGGCAGTCCTTGTAAGTGACCATATATAACGCTATAACCGGATGCAGTGTGCTTAAGAACATACAGAACATGTAGCAAATCCGGCGGTCAACACGGGCGAATTTCGCAGCTAATTTACTCCAACATGCAGAGAGACACTTTTTTTCAGATGTATTCGCTGCCACTCTTTCGTCTTGGCTTTTCACCACAGCTTGCTTTTGCGTCGGCATGTTCCCGGCGCTGCGGTCAAGATCTGGCGGGGCAGTAACATGTGTGGCTGGGCCCACCCCCTCCAGGTCCTCCATTTTGACTAGTTATTTCCTTGGTGTTTATTTATGGGGATCTTGAGGAGACGGGCGCGCATGGCTACTGCACAGGCTCTGCCAGGGCGCGGTGGGGTCACCGCTCTCGCTCCCGCGGCCAAGTTTTTAAAGACGCCCTTAGTAGATATCCCATCAATAAGTACAGAAATCCCACCAAACTTCCCGATTAAAAATAAGTGTGTTTGCTACGCAGATTATGTAAATGGTGAGGCAGACTTGGGTCTGCCAAAGCCCCGCAGCTGGCGCTGATTTGTAGGTTCCTCACAGCAGTGCCGCTCTTGCATCATTAGTGGACAGTAATTTGGCACAAAGTGTGCACCAAATATCAGATATCATCACGACAAAGTGCATATTTTCGAGTTGGAGGCAGGTGTAGCCACGGTTTTACAGTGACGCTTGTTAGGAGATTGATGCGTTTCTGAAGAATTTTCGCTTTTCCATACAAACACTCAATAAAGATGGGACCTCCTTGCGGGTTAACTCTGAACGATTCGCTTACGCTGGCTTCTCTAGTCACATTTCGTTCCCCACGTAGATGTTGCTGTTAGAAAGCTCAAAGCGCTGCCGACGAAAACTCCTAAACAGCTAATTATTCGTCATTCGCGCTGTATAGTTTCATTTTTTGTTTGGGAGCTCAAAACAACACGCATTTGCCTCCGATCCTGCTGTACGATTCACAGCACCTGTGATAAGGCTTACTGAGTATCGGCTGCTTCAATATTTTCCTCAGGAAAGCCTGGAACTACAAGTGGGCTAAGCTGAGCATCAGTGCTGGGTGGGTTTACTTACGGTCTGCGAGCTATCTCCTCCCATTGACGACTTACAGATTTACGCCAGAGATCCCGTCACGCCCAAGCTGAAAATTTTTGTCTTTTTGTCTTTCGCCCCGTACGATTTGCTAGTTGCATCTATAGAGGCTGTCACCAAAGGTTCACCTTGCTGACAAACCCAATTAACAGCTTTCTGAACACGGTACCCGCCTTATCTAGACCGCCCTCCGCTGAAACATCCAGCAAACTTCTTTCTCGACCAAGCTTAGTATCCTTAGCAGGCAGCGAGACGCATAATTTCATTTCATGCCCAAGGGGCACCAAGGTTATGTTACCAAAGAAACTTTAGAAACTTGCTGCGGCAAAACGTCCAGTGATAATGGAGTGCCGAGCTAACAATAGAACCTTCCGATGGCTGTTGAATACAAACGAATCGCATTGTCCCTGCGATGAGAGTTTGCCAGAGTGATCTTCAGCACAAATTTTGTAGCTAAAGCAGGGGCCACAAAACTGCAGAGTGAATAGCCGGAAGAGACTCCAAACCAGTACATATGTATGCATACTTCTAGGATTACTGGTTTACAGAAGCATGCGTGTGCGCCAGTTGCAGGCTGGCCTTTACATGTAATCCAGGTGCGGCTGGGTTGCTGGACTATTCATCTGTGGAGGTGAATTAAGCACGTAGCCAGCATTCTTTCGCGCCTTGAATTCGGCCCAGGATGGCTGTCCAAAGGTGAACAAAGGTTCAGACTGAGTGCCAGCTCGTGCTCTTGCGTGCGACGTGCCTTACGCACAGTTGCGCCTGGCTTTCTCATGGCGGACTTGATAAACCAAAAAAAATCGTTCTGCAACAAGAACAGTATATGCTGGAAGCTTACATGCACTGTTGCGCCTGGGTTTGTCAGGGCAGAACGATATTTCTTGGTTTATCATGTCTGTCATGAGGAAGCCAGGGGCAACTGTGCGTAAGGCGCGTCGCACGCAAGAGCAGCATCAACAACACAATAATACTGAGGCAGTGACGTAAAACGTAGCGAAACGGTTCCTAAGAACACAGCGACAGTTGAAGGTGCCCGACTGCAAAGAGCGTTCCCTCACGCCTCGTGGTGTGCGCACGTAACGATTTCCGTCGGCCCAGTCTTCGACCAGAATTGCACGCTGGCTATGGTTCTGGCTATTCTCGAATGAATACCCTCATGTTTTCCCACATTTCATCTCCAAGCGCTAAAAAGGCTAGGACACAAGGTCACCAACAGCTGCAGCGCCCAACATTTAAGGAAAGCCTGCAAATCCAAGGTGAAGCAAGACAGCAGACAGCAGCTGAACACTTTTTATATGGATACGGGCTGTATGCCATCAAAATCAAGATATCTATTGGTAAGGAGGAAAGCACGACCCATCATCTCGTATCTTTCGTATAAATTGATCGGAGCACGAGATGATGGGTTACGGATCATCCCGAGGTTTGGTGCAGCCCTTCCATTCCAGCTCATTCAGTAAAAGTAGCCCTCACGTAATGGCTTCAGCACTGCGCCTAACGACAGTGGTGTAAGTAAGCGTTGTGGCAATCACTGTTCCGAAACCTGCGAAGGGGTCACTTCCACTCCCCCTGACACGCCGGGCGCCCCCCGCCGCATCCTCCAAAATTCCTGCTCTTTCAGCCTTCTTCTACAACTCCTGGCCTCTGTCAGCAAATCCCATACTCGGAGGAGCGAACTTTGTTGCTTCGAAGAGTCAAATTCTGCCTATGCTTTTTACACCTTTAGGCGACAGTGTGCACCTGGGGCACTGACTGGTTTGGCGCGTAATGCAGTGACGAGCATGTTAAGCTCCCGTCGAAATTTAAGAAAGAATGAACAAACTCATGTTAAATCTTCGTTTCGGATTTCCACTCGTTCTCCGTAAAACTTGACCTATATGTTCCCCTCTCCTGGTTAGTGGTCAAGGCAAGTTCACAGTGCAGCAACGTGTGCAACTTGCTTTGTTTTCAACTTCGTGACACTCATTTCAATCTTTTATCGAATCAAGGTCTTTTGTAGGTAGTCCTCACTGTTTTTTGTCGTCTGCGCAACAGCATTTCGTGTGTCACTGCGGGACGCATGTGCTTCGGTGGGTTTCAGGCGATTAAGTAACCATTAGGTAGCAGTCGACCTTACCTTTCTACAACCGGATACATTCACCTTATCCTAGGCATTTCAGCTAGCGTTTACTGTATCGGGATGCTAAACAGGCAAACGCCATGGTCAAAGAGATATTTTAGTACTGCCTGACACCGGCCCTGTGCAGCAGGCCGTAGCCAATAGGAAAGTGCGCTTAAGGAAGCTCTAGCCACAGAACCAGCGTGGATTCCCCGGTTCTGCTGCTAAACCTGCTGGCTCCGCTGGAGATGCACCTTCTTGATAAGCAGCTTAGCGGTGGACCACCGGGGTACCCGTACGGTAGTGGACAATTTTGAGTACTTACACGGAGAGACATTGCCACTTCAATAGGCGACACTCACGCCATAAGTGACAGGCTCTCCATACTGTCTTCAAGCTCAAGAGGATAAATGTGCAGTCCTGCTACCTTCTAAGTGTCTAGATTTTGCGCATAAGCATGCCCGCCCTCTGCCTGAGGCTGGTGCATCTAACCATGTAATAGTACGTCAGGTAACGCAAAGGCGGAACGCAGTTTGAAATTATCCAGTACATCTTTGACGAAGGGTGTGTATATTTGAAAGAGAGCGCCAATTGAAAGCCTTATAACAATTGTTTTCACCTGCTATCTCAATGCGTCCTCCACTTCGCCCAAGATAGAATTTAAATCCCACAAACATGCAGGGTCATGTCCTGTATCGCTCGTGTCTTCGTCAAGGTGGTGGCATTTCCCTTAAAGTTAACACAAAAGGTTTTGCGAAGGTTGTGCAATGCGGCAGCCAAGGCGGGGGCAAAAGCTGGGAAGTCTTGTGGGAAGTGTGGAGCTAAGGCCTGCAGAAAGTGTCGCAGAAGCTCTGCCAGAACCTGCAGAATTTTCAAGAAGCATTCTCAAAAGGCGTGCACGAAATTTGCTAGAAGCACCAAGAATTTATGCAAGCGCTGTGGAAGGAAATGTCCAAAGTGCTGTGGCGCCCTGGGGCGCCGCTCACACGCGACGACGCGGAAAAGGTACACCAGGCTCTGCACCAAGTGTCGTAACGGACATTTTAAGAGCAGTGTTGCCTTTAATAAGGTAAAGGGTTTCCGTCAGCGCCGCATGAGGACCCAGAAATGCTCTAACCAGGACTACACAGGAGCAAACTGTCACCCACGCAAGCTTTACGGCAGGAAGAGACGTCTTAAACCCAACAGCAGCAAGAGGAAGAAAGGCAGTAACAGAACAGCTACGAACCCTGTACAGCACGACGATCGTTCCTTACACAGAAATGCATACGACGTGTCAAAGCAGCATCAAAATAAAATCCGACGGAAGAGCCACACGTCCCCTAAGGCCAAAAACCGACCTCTGGCTGCTAGCAACGACCCGGGACGTGCCTTTCGCCAGAAAGCTGAAGATATTGAACGTTCTCGAGGGAAATGCGAAATGCATAAGGAAGTAGGTAACTGGAGCAAACGACAATCACAAGGACGAGAAGAAGCTGACGAGACGGGAAGTTCCGTGGCAGCGCGCACTGCGAGAAGACCTGAAAGCAAGGCAGTCCCTCGAGCTTCGTACGAAATAGATGGCGAAAGAATCGAGGAACGGCCGCAACCGAAATTGGAAAGGAACAGCAGACGGCCCATAGCCGGATCGCGAGCCTATGTAACCGATGAGACTGAGGAAATGCATGCCATACGAGGAGAGTCAGATACCAGAAAAAAAAATCGAGCTGATATGCCACATCTTGCAAGTGCAAGAGCTCATATAAACGATGCGGACACAAATATTAATTCAAAGAGAAACACAGGTGGTGAACAAACGCGGTCAGACGAAAACGGTGCACAGGTACCTGGATGCACAAGCGTACGGGGCAGCAAGGACAGGGAACGCCGGAAAGTGGAACACAGAGAGCAATCAAAGGGGAAACCCAAGGAGAGAAAAGAAACCGACGTGGAGGAAGATTCTTCGCCTGAGGCAGTTTTGCCTCACAGCCAAGCCACTCTGCAACGAGAAAGTGAGATGGGCTCAGACGTGCTATGCGAGATGGGCGATGTGGGTGAGCGTCAAAGCAGTGCCTGCCCAAGGTCTGTTCGCCGCTACAATCCTTTCACAATCAAGGTGTGCGTATTCTTTTGCCGTATCCTCAGATATGCCTGGAAAACTCAGAAGTGCTGACACGGAACAAGAAAAAAGGGTCCGCCGGGTTACGAGGGAAGGACGCTCTTTAAAGCAGAAACACCGGAAGGATCCGCCAAACGAAACTAAGTTGGTTGAAAAGGCGGGTTGCTCCACAGATGATAGAAATTCAAAGCGCCAACGTGGGGGGCGTCAGAAGCAAGACAATACAGATGACATCAAACCACCGAGTATGATGGACGATTTAAAGAGCACGGTCTCACCTGTCTCTGGAGCGGTGGAAGAAAAAAAACAAAAGAGTAAGAACCGTATGCACGACTCCTACGCAGGAAAAAGTGTAACAGGTAGGCATACGCCGGAGGCGCGAAGCCAGGAAGTTCCAGGAAACTCCACTAAACATCTACGACGCGGAAAAGCCACCCAGCACCAACCTCCCGCGACCGATATGGAGCAGAAGAAAGACGCCTTAGCTCTACCATGCGCCACTGAAACGAAACAGGCAAAAGTAGTCAAGGCAACTGGCCCAATGCCAAGGAGCGAGAAGCTAACGCCAGAAGACCAAACGATGCAGAGCGACAGTTTAGCTAAAGTTAAACATGCAGAGCGAAATGCCGCGTCTGGTCGCCAAAATTGTGACAATCAGATATGCGGTGGGGAGCAACTGGCAGATCAAACAACGCTATTTGGCATCGAATGCAGGGTTCTTCCAGAGTCTCCGTCTTTATCAGAGTCGTCACGTTTTGCATGAATGCAACGAATATTTTTTTATTTCTTCTGCGGTGGGAACCCAAATCATCTAAATATGCGAAACTCAGTTGGCGTTCCTTATCCAGATATGTTTGCATGCTGTCCCAATTTAAACTGACGGAAACATAAGTTTGTCCTCCAGCAGCACAAGCGCATTCTTGCGTTATGCAAGAATGCGTTTGTGCAATATACCGGCCAAATAAGTTCGGGTAGTGGGCTTCAGGACCGAGCCAGACTCTATGCTCACGGGAATTACTATAGCCTACCCGCAACAAAGTTGAGAACTGTCGCGTGCCTGATATGTGCTACTGAGCTAAAAGTGTGCATAATGCCCTTTTTAGCGCCTTCATACTAACTCATATATATCCAATCAGCGAGATCCGTTGTCATTCCCCCCAAAAGAAGGCAGAAAAAGGGGCTCATCAGGATGTGAGTATGCTCAGCTCTTAGGCTTCTTTTTCCCCTTAGCCTTCCGTGCTGCGGCCTTCTTCAGCGCGATGTACTCTTCGCGCTGCATGATTCCACGCCAGTATGATTGGAGAATACAGGCTGCCGCTGCCTTATTGGCCCGCTCTGCTTCCGCTCTTGCAAAAACTGCCTTTGAAATGCATATCGCATTCGCCTTTCTCTCGTTCTCTTCGTCAATTGCTTCTAGAGCTTTGGTAAGAGAAGCCAAAGACTCCTCATCAGCTTTATTCTTCAGCCTCATTGCTTGAATCTCTGCAAAGCCACGCACTCGGAATTTACAAAAATATCTAACGCATGGCCGTTAGTGCTAGTGCATATAAATCTTTAAGCTGCAGCAGGATGCAACGGCAGCGCACGCATTGTCATCTAGCCAATATAAAGCGTCACTGGTGTCTTCAATCTAAGTTACACTTTTCACCTCTCTCTTTCTGGGAAATGTCCCTGTCAAGAGCCTTTACAGCGTTTTCCAGATCTCTTTTCGCTATTTTTTGGTTGCGGATCCTAGCGTCTATTTCCTCCCTTGCTGCTGCTGCCTGACTTGCCCCGCGCTTTTCTAACTGGGCCTTGAGCGCAGCCGCGTCTCCACTTTTCCTCTGAAATGCACGTGTCTGTTGTGCGTCACGCTTAGCGAATTCCTCGTTCATCTGCCAAAGCCGTTGTTCCGTGCTATTTTGGATATCATGCAGATCCGATTTAAGCTTAGCAATCGCTTCTGATGATCTAGCTGCATGTTTTTGCCTTTCAGATCGTAGCTGTGCCAACTGTGCCTCCAGCTCGGAACGGCGCTCTTCTGCAGACCTCTCCTGCTGAAGATACATCTGCAGCAGGTCTTCATTAGCTTTTTCATCTTCCACAGCAGTCGTCAGGCGTTTCAGCATCACTTCCTGTAATAGGCCGAAGGCCCACATTTCACTTGTTGAGCCGAAGGCTTAGCGTGCAATGCATGGACATTGATAGCAAGCATCTTCTCGTCGCCGTATACAGTGCATGACTCTACCGAGAGTGAGCAGCAACACATTTGCGCAAACGCTAACGCGCACGATTTGCCAGCCTGAGCGTACCTGCATTTCTGCCAAGGCATGTACGAATTTCACAGAGTTGACAGGTTTTGCTTCCTGTAGAGCACGGAGTTCTTGAACTATGTTAGGCACTTCTCTCATCTTCCTACACAAGTCCCTTGTGTTCTTTTCTAGCTGTTCGGCGATTTCCTGTAAATCATCAACATCTAGTGATGCTACGCCAGCTTCCTCGCTGGCTGCAGCGCTCCCATGATATAGCTCCTCAAGTCTAGTTTGCTCGCCCATGCGTTTCAGTACATCAGGGCCGAGCATCTCTGCAACATGCCCAGAATCATTCTCTTGGATTGCTTCTAATACCTGAAGGTCATCAAAACAGAGTCCACCTTTCGATTTCAGTGAAGATTCAGACAGCTTAATTGCATGAGATGTTCTATGTGATTGTTGGTGCTCTTCATTCGGGCTTGCTCATGCATTTTGTCGGACAGCAATGTGCGAGACCAGGAAAACTGAGCGGGGGATGCCCCAAATTTTCTTTGCCGGTGATGGTTGCAAAGGAGGCCCGCTTTCTTACTTGGGGGCTAACAAAGGTAAGAAGTGTAAGTTTTTGTGTTAGCTCGTCCATGACAGATGCAATCCGATGAACGTCGGAGCTCATCGGCTTCGTCGCCGCCATTTTTGCACATGATTATCAAGTATCTTCACGCAGAGTTGACCTTACCCCTCCTGTTTTTTCTGTGTATAATGGCAGGAGGTCAGTGCATGCTGTTTGACAGTTCCTCTTAGTCCACTTGGATCATATGATGACTGCTGGCCGCGGAAACAGGCGCCAATCACCAGCAGTCTTACCCGGCAGAACTAACAGGTGGAGATGATCAGGAAGTCACTTGACACCCCCACGATCAAGCATTTTCAACAATGTGATGGAGACAATTGATACAAACAACAAGTGACCTGAAAACTGGAAAAGTATCAGCCGCCTCAGCAATCCATCTCCGCGGGAAGGCGCAGGCGAGGCATAGGGAATCCTTACAGGGGAAATAATCCAGCTACTGTGGGCGGCAGCCAGGCAACGGCCTCTTTTAGAGGCAATAGAAAAGGTAAGCGTGCCAGGTGAGAGTATCTGGATACCGAAGATGCTGGCTGTCGAGCACAGCCATACATGCAATAGACGAGGCGGCGAGCGTTCACCTCACATGCTCCAGACGGCTACTACAATTTACCAGGGTTCCAGAGGAGCCACGATACGCCTAATTACTTTATTATGGCAGAAAGGCAGGGTTTGTTTGGCTTATTCGTCCCAGTAACATTTCATTTGCCGCAGGATGACCTAGCGGGTCACTCGCTCGAGTCTGAAATCACAAGCCAAGAGCTGTCTCAGCGAGACTTGAAAAGGTACAGAGTTTAATCATCAATCCAAGAAAAATTTTCCTTTCTTAATTAGAGTCTTCTGCTCCTACGGTGCAGCAGCTGTCACTATATCGTGCGGCAATCTGCCCATTAGATAAAAGTGGGTCACCACCGTTTCTCGTTTGCCAGGTGACACCAAAGTTACCGAATGTCTGGGCGTCGTCTGCGCTTAACTTCTGCAAAAGCTGATAGTTGCACAGTTGTTTTTCACTTTGAAGAGCAAAAAGCTCAGAGTGTCAGATTTCTGCGTAGCTGGTTTGCAGGGATTTCTCCTAGCACATAGGGACGGGTACTGTCGAATCCACGATCAACGTCCTTCCGCTGTACTTTCCCGACCTTCCAACCTATCGTGCATTCTTCTCTCCTGGCCACATTCAACGAAGGCCCCTACATACTCCAGGCTCGCTTCCTTGTCAAGTAGTACCGGGCCGGACCTACGTAAGGCTGTGGGGCGACAGCCAAGGCAGTTCATATGATGACTCAGATTTGCTGAATCGGTTTGGCATCTGACAGTAGGCCTTCTACAATGAAACAAGCAAACATAGTTTTTAGTTGAAACGGTAATGTAGTGGCTTGCTTGGGATAATTAAATACTCGTGTGCTTGCTTGCCCTCGTACCCCCACTGCGTCTAGTCACGAGATCGCCTCCATGCACGGCGGTTCCCATGTGCAGAAGTTTGCAACTGACAACGCAGTTGATCAGCAGACGTTTAGGTTCAGGTACTCCTTCACAGCTTGCGATACCTGATTTTGCCCTTGTTTAACTTGGAACCACTGCCTCTGAGTATTTCAGCGTGTTTCGACTCAGTCACCTATTTTATAGTGTGCACCGTGCATTCAAGTTAGTATGGCCTCATTCCTAGGGCGACTGCGGCTGGGAGGTGTGGAAAAAAATTACGAGTGGGCATTGCTTGAAGGTTGATGCAATAGTTCCTCTGCATATGAGAATAACGTATGGATGCACGTGATGCAAATGTGTTTAGGCTGTGTTTAGCTCTGCCTCAGCAGTAATTGAAGGCAAAGCGATGAACTGCTGAATCAACGGTTGTAGATGGCTTAAAGCATGCATTCTTCATGGTGTTACCGTGATGAGGGGCGCATACAGTGGTTATGTGTTGGCACGCGAGTTTACATATAATTTCACGTCGCAGACCTTTTTGCTGGAATGTAAGGGGCTCCACCTAGTTGCGACAATTAGAGCGTGGATTCCATCTACACATCTTCTTGCTGGAATAAAAGGTGCTCCACCTACTTGCGAGACCTTTTTTCTGGAATGTAAGGTGCTCCGCCTAGTTGCGACGATTAGAGCGTGGATTCTGTCTACATGGATTCTAGGCTTCAACGAACGGCATACATTGGTTCAGAGATTCCTGTAGACTTTCCCGCTTGTCTAACGTTTCCCGAACGTCTCCCCTTTGCTGCGACCGAGTTGACCCATATCGATGGAGCATTACCTCAAAATACGCTTCGAAGACGCTCAAATACATACTGTTCACTTTGCCACATGCATCGTCGTGCATTAATTGAATGCAAACGCCGAGGTATCACTTTCCCTATCGTTATTACGATTACCTGCATGGTAAACTAACGGAACTAGCCTTGTGTGCTACAGCCGCCTGATGTCGCAATTTCCTGCAGAGCACGCCAGTGAAACTCAGTTTTTTTCATTCAGAAGCATTGAATTTCTGACGTCCTTGTTTTGCATTAGAAACAGGCAGCTTAGGGCGGCTATATGGCGGTGGCAGACTACGAAGACCGGTATCTGCTCTGAAGTGCTTAGTTGAATCCAAGTGCTAGATCAGATACTCAGCCCTTAACTGAGCCTTAACCCGTTGAATACAAGTGTTAGGTCGGATAGTCAGCCCTCAAACAGAGCTTAAGCTGTTGAATGCATGTGCGAGGTCAGGTAATCGCCCACACATGGACCTTAAGTGAGTGCTAGTTGATAACAAGCAGCGAACAGAAAAGCGAACAGCCGGCTGTGCCACCGTTTCCCGGATGGGGGAACTTTCCGTATATCGCGGTCATCGATACGGGGGCAAGGACGAACGAAGAGCGTTGCGAGAGAGGAAATTTTCTTACAACGTCTGAAGCACCAGGAACTCTCCAGTTCGTTATTTCTTTCCCCTATTCCCACGTTTCGTTGGCACTCGCCTCGATATATTCGGACCGGCGAGATGGAGCAGTCGTTACACTGATCTTATTCTCCTCAGCGATATCAAATGTCCCTGCAAAGACAAAAAAGGAGTCACAGCAAGTTTTTGTGCTTCCTCTGCGGTTTGTAAGGGGGCCCCGGCTTAGCTGGAGCATTTAATATAGCCGTAGATATGTACTCCTTTCTGAGGGGTATCATCGCATAGCAAAGCGCGAAACGAGAATGTTCTGCGCTTTGCATAGCAAAGCGCGAAACATTCTCGTTTCGCGCTTTGTATCTCGAAATACTATACGAGACCGGCAAAGACGGTCTCCGCCACTACAGACGGGTCGCCGTCCTGCCAAGAGCATCTCCCACGGCTCGAATTCTTCTAGTATCCTAAGGTAGATGCGCCAACGGCAACGCTTCAGCATAAACCCTATAAGCATTCCAGAAAATACAGAAGCCATGTGCATATGGTCTCGGATACCCGCCTCCACTCCTGTTCTGGACACACGTCGCAGGGGTACTCAACCGTCTTGCGAGCGCGGATACTTCCTGTGGTCGCGCCGATACCCCGCCGAGCTGCGCTACACGTGTTCGGCTACCTGCGTTAAGGGACTGCCCGCGGGTCGCGTCGTATGAAGCAAAACAACGCTTACCTTACTGTTACCAACAAGTACTGTCTTTGTATCGCTACGACAACTCGTACGGCCACCCCACTGTGTTGCGTTGCACTGCGCTGGCTGTACTGCAGGCCACTACATTGCTGTCGAGCTAAGAGAAAGTATTAGGGTTACTACAATCACGGCAACATGGCTGTGGTGTACGGGCATCACAACGGAGCTCAAAGGGAACCTTCATAGACCTAGTTAGTTAGAACGAATCAAATACATATAGAGACAAGTTGTATTATTCTAGATAGACTGTTAGGATAACCAAATCAAGACTGCTTTGCACCCGTACCAGCTTCGAGCTGGCTGCCTACAAAACTGACGCTGCGGTTGAGACTCTGACTGAAGGCAGATTCAGAGATAAGACTTATTATCCTGCGATTTCCTTTTTTAGATTAATGCAGTCAAATATTCAAATTGGCACCTTGAAAGCATATTCTGTAAGGACTCAAATATTCAAATTAGCACCTTGAAAGCATATTCGAGTCCTTACAGTATAGATAGCCTGTGCTTAGTGCATAGATTTCAAGTATGAATCCAGTAGGGTTTTCATACGGTAAACACGCAGTAACAGGCGAGTGCTCTGTTCCCTACAGTTGCCGCGCTCGTTCTGCTAGAGTCAGTGTTGATTCAACGCTGCGAATGTGTACGAGTGCATATTGATGTTTGTTGAGTATTAGATACTGTCCACAATGATGTGTATTGTTATGGCTATAGGAGAGGCTGGCATGAGACTTGGTGCAAAGGGGGTGGCATCATGCCATCAAGTCTCCTCCCACAATCTCTCAGGCCCCAGTGCGGGGTCTAGCGGATAGGATAACAGAACAATTTTGACAGATAAGAACGAGAGAAGCAACCCTCCTAAACCCTAAACCTGAACGAATATCGGGAAAGCATGTGAGAGTCTGAGGGCTGATCCCACGCATCACCACCTTATTGGTTGGTTAGTAGCTCCATGGGTATGGATTCTCAAAACCCCATCGCGTGGTGGATTCCCCGGTTTTTATGTATTACTTTGTTACAATATACCTATTTGTTTCTTCTGCTGCATGATTTCTTCGTGAGTTTCGGCGGAGGGTGCTTCTACCCCGTGTTGACGTCACGAGAGAAGCAAGCGACAGTAGTTTACTGCCCCTCTGTGAGGGAACGGCACAACGCGACCCGCAAGTGGTCTTCATCACGCAAACACTGCCCTCACCGACTATCCGAACTCCCGCCCGTAGGCGCTGCGGAAGGCACGTGCCGTATGGGTGTACACGCACCGGTGGAATCTACTGAGTGCATGCGAACTAGGCCCCAATACAAGGCCTGTCTCCACCTGTTGGCGATAATTGCATCGATTACATTTCTCCGGAATAGCAGTTGGATGCCCAGCCCCACTCTCAACGTTCACTCAGCTTAAGGAGCACAATGTGATGATCCTGCACGGCGGCCGTAGATTGAGTGGGAGGACAAGCA